AGCTCCCTCTCAAGGTCAAGAAATTAATTAAGCTATAAAACAATGTTTCTTGACTAAAATCGACCGATTAGCTCTTCCTGTTTGGAAATTATATATCACAACTACATATTCTGAGATTTTCATGATCGCAGCTAACATTGTACGGGCATATAGGCGCCAATGGTAATTTATCAAAATTTACCGGGAACACCGGTAAATTTTTATATTCAATTTTTCTCGAAAGCAGAAGTGTTTAAGGGGGTAATTTTTCTAGTGCTTATAATACATCCACAGGGGCATCCAAATATATTAAAATGGTAAAGAATCACTATCCACCCAATTTATAAATTTCCCAAAACTTTGTATTACCTTTAAGAGAGCTGATACTATTCTGAGTGACACTAAAATGGCATATAATATTAATGTAATGTATGGCTTATAGGCTTTCTGTTGATATAATTCATGGATTTCATCTTTCAGTTTGGATATGGTCTTTAATGATATGATGATAATAATATGTCTTGTTTACCCAGGGTAACCCAGGGTATTAATACTATTCTGTCCACGAAGAGCCCTGGAATCACATCATTACTCAGCTTTTACCTACCGTACGGTATCTACTGTGATAATGCGCTCATACATTCTCGGAATTTCCCCTACTTAGCTCAACTCTTTCAAAGATTGATATGAAAACAGCGAAGTGGCCATTATTTAACCCCTCAATCCAGATGAATATTTAAGGAAGAGGTAAGAAAAATTAACCATTTCCTATTGGAACTGGATGGCTTATGAGAATGATAACATTTGGTAGTCAATGGGTTAGGATATATGCCAAATTGTTAATAATGGAATTAGAAACAGGAATGTCTATTAAGGACTCAAATATAGAGTGTGTTAATTGTGATGAATGGTGCTGTACTTGCAACATTTGGTAGAAATGTATGCTTTGCTTTTCTTTTCTTTTCAATTGGTGTCATTACTCCAATGCTAATTGCTCAAAGCTCTCTCCAGCTCCCATCCTATTTTTTTACTCTTAAAACTTTATACTCTATTCTTATAGCTGATTGAAATAAATAATGAAAGATGCAATAAACCTAAAAATGGATCATTATTGCCTTGTTTATGAGAGCATGTTCAACAGGCGTGAGAAGAGAATCATGTTTACAGGTAGTAAATAATCATAAATCAATCATTGTTAAGTTTTATGTAGCTGATTCTATTCAAATTGAAGGTCCATTTCATTATAGACTCCTATATAAATGAAGCATTAGAAAAGATTATGGTATTCATTCAAATTGTACGACCCTGTAAATGCCGTTAAATTCAACTCACAATTAAACCAATGACCTGTGAGATCTCGATGATAAACAGTATTAAAACTATTTGATGAGTATCCCCTGCACCTCTTTTGACAAAAAGAAAGGAATTTAGCGTTGGAAGCATGTCACAGATGATTGCTGATAAACTTCTGTGTGGGACTGTCCTCTTTGTGATAGTCTGTGTGGCATGACTTGCTCTGAGAGCTGCGAAACACAACCCCATTTGAATTTTTTTAAAGCCCCAGTTCATTGAAGGTACTATTGATTTAATATAGGGCTAGGCTATCTCGGTTGACCGATATCCCTAAAGAGAGACAATGCTCAGAGAAGTAAATGACCTTAATTATCCTGAATATTTGTGTGAAAACTACAAGCGGAATTTATTATGTTGTCAAGTTTGATTGGACATGGATGCATTATCTAGAGATGCAGTGAAACATATCCCACTGCTGACATCGATAAAACAATTCTCCTCTCACTTGGATTTTTCTATTCTTTCAGTTCAGATTTTTGTTTAAATCTCCTTATAGTTAAATCTTCTCTTTCTGTTCTTCTCACTTTTGAAATTAGTAAAGAACTATAGTTCTAAGCAACTTCATGTTAAAAAGTTAACAACAACGCTGCATCTCTCAAATTCAATTCAGATTTCCACATATTTCTATATATAGGCATATGGAATGTTTATGAATCAGCTCACTGGTATAATAAGCGAGTAATTCAAAAGCAAAAGCCAGCGGGATATGTTTGTCCATCATATTGAGAGGTTTGGATTCATAATAACGGATTCACTGGTTCAAGGACAGCTGATGCAGATCAAGCACATCTCTGCCCAAAAATGTACTCAAAATAGCATTTTAGGAAGTAGATTTTAGGCACTGAGCAGTTTAAAGATAAAGTTGAGTTATGGTCATGCGATTGCATTGTGATAGAAACGATGTGGAATCGATCAGAAAAGGTTGATCATCTAGCATATAAGTATTTGTGTGTATTGCAAGGTTCTGGAATCATCAAAATGATAAGAAATTTGGCCAAGTCTTGGTAAAGTTACAAGCACTGTACACAAAAAAGTGTATATGGGACTTTGCGACACGTGCGCGACATGTGCGTTATATCTATGAGGTCCAAATAGATATAATAATTTACCAAATATCAATTAGCAGGCGGTTTCTCTGCAAAATTTGTATGATCACATATTAATAGTCAAAACATTCTTTCACATGATTGGTAATAAGAGCTTCCATTTTGTTTTTTGAGAGGGGGGGGGGCGTTTCCCAAATTGGTCTTTACCTTTAAACAGTTGGGTAACTCCACAAGGAATATGTTACATGTCTTAACTTGAGAAAGGAGTTTTGCTCTAAACCTAACTCATTCACATTCATGACTCTTTATCAGCTTGTTTGTCGTTATTCCTTTGATAGTAAGGTTTCTTATTTTTTAATACATGAAATTTCATGACAACTGCACAAATGCATTAGCGCAGAAAATGAAAAACTACAAACGATTTCAATTATAATGAAGTTACTTGTATTATTATTTGTATTTTTCCCTGTGTAAACAATTGTCATGCCCTTTTTAGTTACATTTTACATGATGATGACAATCAATATTTCTACAGTTATTCTCTCACATTTCTCCACATACACACATATATCTCGGCACATCCGAGAGAAAAAAACTTGCCAAGGTCTTCAAAGGTGCTCAAACGGAACAATCATGTACTCGCTTGTAGCCAAGTGGGTGTTACAGAAAAGGAGCTTTATCTCTAGGTCCTTGAGGTATACATTAATAGAAATCTCTAATCCCAACTTAATCTGCCGTGTGAATAGACCACTTTCAATGCCTCACTTGTTAAAGGGTATGATGCACGTGTATTCTGTATAATATGCCACCCAGCAATTAATGGCACTTCAATTTAAATGTGCTCAAATGATTATGAAAAGATTACAAGGAAACCTTTGTACAACTAATGTGTATTTCAGATCCATATTTGAGACTTGTTTTAATTGTTACAAACGGAGTTAATTCATAGTTTAATGATGCAGATGACTGTAAGTATCTACTGTATAACATGTATTTACTAAGGAAAGCATCACTTTTTAATGTGTGTAGAACATTTTATAAAGTATTGCAAATTCAGAGGCAATGATCTTACATCACAAAAAGGTGATATTCTGAAGCATGAACACGCAATTAAAAAAAAAAAGATGTCTGTCCGCTTTCCTTATCTTTAATTTGACCTGACCCTTTGTATTGTACAAGTTTTGTAAATAAAATTAGATTTTTTGTTTGTTTTGTTACTACCAGCTCTTTCTAAAATACATACATTTCTAAGTGAGAAGACTTTGAAAATAATTATAGTTACTGATTGCTCAAAGCCAAAAGGGTGTTAACTCCTATTCACTCCCTTTTGGCTTTCGATCTTCAGATAAAGACTTAAGTGATAAAATCATTACCGGTACTCCAAATTTCTTTGACATATAGCTGTGATAGTCTGTCCAGGTACATACACATGTATACTTGATGATCTACTTCATGTGATCTGATAATAATGTCTGATATTGTCCAAAGAATCCTTAAAAGAATCCTTAAAACCGCTAATCGGTGTTTCGATCAGCCTTTAACTGTCTTAATATTATAACATTTGTAGCCCACGAAGCATCTACGGCAAGATTATGACGTCATAATGTCTGCCTTCTGTGTTGACTTTTTCCTCTCCTGCCATTCCTCCAGTGCAAACTGTGTCTCAGCTAGAGCCTCTATTGTTTAAGAACAATTGCTGCCTTCAGGAGAGATCATGCAGAGAGAGAGAGAAAAGAAACCGGAGAAAGGGAGCTAGAGAAAGAGAGAGAGAAAGAGAGAGAGAGAGAGACTGAGGGAGAGAGGGGTAGCAGAGGCATATGTAAATTAACTCAGCACAGTACGCTGCAGAAGCGATGTTCACTTATCCATGACGATCTCGTCTAATATCCACTACGGTAACTGCTTCAGGCTACAGCTTTTCTCCTCCATACAACGACAACTCTGTTGTTATTAGGGTGCAAAATCTCTCTCCGAATGACAGGCTTACGGAACTCAGGCCATTTTGCGGGGTATATTTAGCATGGGTGTGTGATATAAACTTGATGGCAGGTATTAAACACGGATTGGTGTTAATGGAAAGTTTGATTTATGAGCAGAGTGAAGTCATATAACATCATCCTGAAGAAAATAGGAAGTTGTTGCTACTGTTTGTTGACAATCGGTTAGATTGAGTGTGGTTCCAGGTTGATCAGGGTGCACTTTTAATCGTCAGTTCTCACGCTCATGGATGTTTTAAATTAAGAAGGTTAAGTGTGTACACTTCCCGAAAGTTTTGAAGGTGTGTAACTCAGCTCAAGAGTCTGGAGTGTGACAAAAGGTGAGCTCAACACCATGTCTCGCCGATCCTCCAAGAAACAAAATGGGGTCTGGCGCCAGTCATTCGATGTGCAGATGAGCGTTGATGACTCTGCTTTGCCCAGTAACGGAACCAGCAATGGAACCCATCCTACGATGAATGGCAACGGCAATGGCAACGGCACCATGAAGCGCAGTTCCTCTCTGCAGAGCCTCAATATTTTCCGACGCTTACCCATGAAGAGCGGGTCTCTCTCGAAAGTCTTTGGGCGCAAGTCCAAGCACAAGTTACCCCCGTCTTACTCTAATACTAAATCTCGTTCGCAGGATAATGTGGCCTATGACTTTGAGATCCAGGGTGGACCACCTTCCCCTCCGTCAGTCTCTGCCATGGCTCTAGGATCTGATAGGAGTGGAAGACCAAGCACCGCTTTCTGGGAGATCCCCAGAGATAGACTGGTTGTCGGCAATAGGAAACAGTATGGACGATTTGGAGAGATTTACTTTGGAAAGGTTCTAATCGGAAATCAAAGCCTGCCTAGTGATGTGAAGAAACAAAGAGGTGAGCAAATCATTATATTTTCAAAACAAAATTCATGCCTTTATTTTCCAAATGAGTGACATTCTGTTTCTCTTAAATGATAAGATTAAACACTAAAGTATAGCAAATAATATGCTTCCAATAAATTGCATAATATTTGTACAAAACAAGAACTAGTGCATTACCTGACTTGTAAGCACTTAACTATTGCATATATTTGACATAGTTGTGAAATTATTTAATAATGTTAGAATGCAAACTAGAACACCTTAAACCTAGAAAAAGCTTATATTTTTAAATAAGGACATAAATCAATATTTTTTGTTGGTAAGATTAAGATATCTATTTTATTTGTAATAAGTACAGTGTATATGTATTTTAGCTTGTAGAGTTGTTTCAAAGGAATGCCATACTTCTTTTGCTGTCATATATTCTTGCATTTTATCAGTTGTTAATGAATTCAATGTATGCTATTCAAAAGTTCCATTTTTGATTGCGCCATTTTGTGCAATCAAACTGTTCATTAGAAAACTGTACTTGTGTCCAATTTATGTGAATCTTGTATATTTAGTTGTAATTTCCTCATTTCAAAGACACCGAATAAGGATACGAATTTGGATACGAATTTGAGTTTTTTTCCTCCAAAGCATTTCAGAGAGCAAATCTTTGTCACTTTTTACAAAGGATTCCTGCTCACCGGAATGTGACGATTGTACTAAAGAAAAATATTTGCTCTATTGAAAGACTTATCGGTATTCAGGCTCTGAAGATAAATAAAATGTAATTGCAGAAATCCAAGGCATTAACAGATAACAGGATGTAAGATCAAGATATTTTCAGTATTGAATTGGCAACCATTCTGACTTTTTAAATTTTAAATCCATGCTATTGTCAGGCAGAAATGGCAGAGGGGTTAAACATAATAAAGCATAAAAGAATATCTTTGGCTTCATTCGACTTGGAGGTGCCTTTTTGTATTTTTGTTATAATCTTTTACCCTGACTCAAGAATGCAGAACAAAAATGCCTAATTTCTTCTTTAAATAAAGAATGCTTGATTTAGAAAAATGAAGGACATAAAATGGTCTAACATAGAAGTTGAAAATAGAAAATAGAAATCTTTGAAACTGTGAAATCACAAACAAAAATAGGTGACACTGCCACTAACATTAAGTTTGATTGTAGTAATTTTAACAATTAACTATTTCTGGGTGGTGTTTCACAAAGATCCTAAGTTGAACTTATCTCTAAGTAAGACTTAACAATTATGGCAAGCCATTAGCATCTTTGAAAATATTTTGTAAAAGTTGTTTAAAAAGGCATACAATGTTGATTCAAATCTTTCATATTTCCTATTATCATGGGAGATTTCATGTTCTTGATGTGGAATTTATAAAAAGTCTAAAATATTTGAATTTTTGCTTTTGAATATATTTTATTTTAAGGCTACAAATGGCTCTCCATAATATTTAAGACCAACTTAGAGTTAAGTTTGACTTAGAATCTTTGTGAAACACCCCCCTGGTTACATTATCTGTTAAGAGCCAGAAGGGTGCTTACTCACATAATTCAACATGAGTTAACATTCGTCTGGCTCTGAATAGATCATATTACAAACATAAATGCTCTTTAGAACTCCTTCAAAAACAGGAAATTGTGAAAAATATTTCTGGAGATATTTTTCAAGCATGCTGCCTGATTGAATCTTTTCTTTGTACAATTACAAGCAGTGTGGGTAGCTTCAAAGGAACAATCGTTGACAAAACATTTGATGATGTGAGAAATATGCCGACATTTTTGGGTGTGTGATGGTAGATGAGTAATACCAGTGTTGTTTTTTTTGGTTTTCATTTGTCTAATTCAAGCATCTTTTATTTGAAAAAGACATGAGCCATATTTTTTCTGCATTCTTGAGTTGTTACCGGTAATCATTTGTTTACAATGTTCTTTAAAAAGAAGTAGTTAACCACACACACCCAAATAATGTTTATTATTAGTTTCCATACCATAATAGTTTATGATCCAAAGCCATAACAATAAAACAAATGTTTACATTAATGAAATTAATTCAGAGTTATTTCCATAATTGTTAAATTTAGTGCAAGCTACACTGTAGGGTACATTAGTGTGTTCACTGTTGATGAGTCGATCTACAAAAGATTAGTGATTTATTGAGGAGGCAGTTTTGACATTCAAGCTTTCAGTATTTTTCAGATGTTTATTCAAAGCTGTTATTTTTATAATAGGGTACCCACATGGCACCCAAAACATACAGATTAAAAAAGAAAGGACAGCTTGCCAAATATCCTTGGATTAAGGAATGCCTGTGAATAACAAGCTGAAAGGATATTTGGAGCTAATAAGCAAACCCTGTCACAGTCAATATTAAAGCAATTCATTGCAATATGTCCTGGACGGCATTTGACTTTAGCCATTTTTTTTTCATCAAAAAATGAAAATTCTCATGATATGGCCATAGACTAATGGTGATTTTGCTGTCCCTACTATCATTCAATGGTTGTATCCGCATGATGTATTTCATGTAAGATGAAATAAAGTTAAAAAAGACAACAACACCACCAACAACATGTAAATGTCATCATAATCTCCTTTTTGTGACTACTACTTCAGCATTATTCTAGGCATCAATTCTCCTTGGTTAAAAATGTTATGGCTAAATGCATGCCCCGGCCGCAATACAAATATAATACCTTGGTCTTATTGGTGGAAAGTTAGCTGTGTTTGATTTGTAAAGTTTTGAAAATTTGATCACAATTTGTATGCAAGAAGCTTCATTACACATACACATGTACCTCGTACAGTGTACTAATTGGCACGTACAGACACATAGCTGTAGGTCCCTTGGTAGCTTGTCATCAGGAGCATGCAATCAAGTCATTTGTTCATCTTGAAAGATAAATTGTTGAGTGTGATGCAGGATAACTCAAACGTTGTACAAAATCTCTCTCTCTCTCTCTCTCTCTCTCTCTCTCTCTCTCTCTATCTCTCTCTCCCTCTCTCTGTCTCTCACTCTCTCTCTCTCTCTCTCTCCCCCCTCTCCGTCTCTCTCTATCTCTCTCTGTCTCTCTCTGTCTCTCTGTCTGTCTGTCTCTGTCTCTCTCTCTCTCTCTTCCTATCTATTTTAGGTAATACTCCTCTGGATAAGAAGAAGATGCTAGCAGAGCTGTCTGTTCTTAGTCATGTTGGTCGCCACGCCAACGTTCTCAATCTTGTTGGGGCTTGTACCAAAACGGCCGGTAAGTAAATGGTCCCCAACAATTATAAATCATCTGTGAAGAGACAGAAGGGCATTAAAGGCTAAGTCCACTCCAAAAATATCTTATTTTTAATAGAAGCAGACAAATCAGACAAACCAATCAAATTTACTCAATTTTTTTTTTGGCTCTGTTTCTGCACCTATTAAAATCAAATTGTTTTTGGAATGGACTTAGCCTTTAAATTTGTGTCATATGGATTGTATTCTACTCATTTAGTTGAACCTGATCCTAGCTCTTAGTCTTAGTCTTAGTTTTAGTCTTGGTGTTAGCTAGATCACATTTACCAAAGGAAGGCTTAGGAAAACTGCTCTTCCTTGTTGAAACCCAATAATGAACAAAAGTGCAATCCTAGCGTCTGGTTTAACTTTTTGGTAGAATATGGGCCTCAGAGTTTAATGCCCTTTTGGCTAAAAAAAACAAAAAAAAGTTGATAGACACCTACATGTTGTTTGTATGGTATGCTGAGGTCCAGTACAGTATACCTCTCACTATTTTGCAGAGAGTTAGATGTAATGCCCTTTGATTTTCTGGGAGTAGCCAAAGCATTTAAGCTCTTTTCGAAGCAGAGTTATCGAAAGTATTGATTTGTACTCCTTGGATTGCAAGATCGTGGAATTGACATACAAAGCTACGGTTAAATGATCAACTTGACTTACAAAACCTATCAATCAAGTGGGGTCGTACATGTATGATCCAACTTACAATAGGCTTTATCTAACTGCCTATACTGACTTTAAAGGCTTGGAAATAGTAAGCATGCATGCATGTAAGCACTTTATAAAGGGGATAAGAAGCTTTACTTGTAAAGCTGTTGGATAACACCATTCAAATTAACCTACTCAAATGGGCTGTTGGGGCATGTCTGCATTGAGTTCTGTTACCCATGTCTAATGTTTGGGGGCGAGCCCAAGGAACACCGTATGTCCATACCTTACCAACTTTGGGGAATTGTATTGTGGTATATTGAAAGTATATATAAAATATCAGCGATAAATGATATTTAAAAGTAGGTTAAAGTGAACAGTGCTCAAGGACAAGCATACCGTAGTCGGCCTGATTACACAGTTGGAGTCTGATTGCTTGTGTAAATACCACATTGGATCTTATTCTCCTTCTCCCTCTCTCCCACTCTCTCTTTCTCTTGCTCACTCTTGCTCTCACTCTCTCTCTATCTCTCTCTCTCTCTTGCTCTCTCTCTCTCTTGCTCTTTCTCTCTTACTCTCTTTCTCTCCCCTCTCTATAATTTTTTTCCTTCTCTGTCTCTCTCTCTCTCTTTCCCCTCTCTCTCCCCTCTCTCTCCCCTCTCTCTCTCTCCCTCTCTCTCTCTTGCTCTCTCTCTCTCTCTCTTGCTCTCTCTCTCTTGCTCTCTCTCTGTCTCCCATCTATCTAACTTTTTTTCTCTCTCTCTCTCTCTCTTCCCCCCTCTCTTTCCCCTCTCTCTCTTGCTCTCTCTCTGTCTCCCATCTATCTAACTTTATTTTTCTTCTCTCTCTCTTTCTCTCCCTCTCTCTCTCTCTCTCTCTCTCTCTTTCAACCTTGCTTTACCTTTTGAAATGTTTAAAAGTTTCTTAAAGCTTGCTTTGCTTGTGTCCAACAAACAAGGTTATGTTAAATTACCACCAGCAAGACTGTATGTGATGACCAATGTTTTTTAAGCTTGAACCAGGCATTTAAGATATCAAAGAAACAGCAACATACTTTTATTATTTCTGAGGAAAATCCAGATTTTGCAAGTACAGGATATTTAATAGTAAAAAAAATAAGGAACCCAAAGTACTGTATACTCAATTTAATTTGACTATAGTATCAACATTTATTCAGAAAATATAATATTTTGTAAAGAATCTTACAATATTCATTTCCCCAATTTCGCTTACTCAACATTTTGTTAAGAAGCTGTTAGGTGTGGTTAAGGAGATGTACCTCATTAAAGTGTTTAAAAATAGAAAGCATGATTCACATTTATGTAAACATTTTGTTAAGGGCAAACCCCATGACACGGTAGGAGGTTGATATTGTATTAGAAGGGCATTTAAGGCGGACAGTGTACTTTTGAGAAGCGGAAAAGGTCTGAATTAATAGCCTTATAAGGTACAACTCCCCCGCCAAGAGCGTTTAATACTCCCCAAGTTGCCATTTCTGCCACTTTTCTCATGCACAAGCCTGTAGATTTCGATCAAGCGAAGGTCATTTTACTGCTTTTATTTATTGAAATTCTTTTGAACAATACTTATTGTACTGTGCTGACGTTAGTCATTGAAATTTGATGCTGTATAACATTTTTGCATGATGTATGTGTAAACACTGCATTTTCTTTAATTGGTTTCCTTTCTTGGCACAATGGAGGATAAAAGGTCTGCTCATGCTTGATTTAATTTTTGTGTAAACCTGGTATTGAAATTGCATTGGTATATATTGAAAGGTGGCCTATTAATAAGAATAGTTAGATTTACATAAATAACATATTACTTGGATAGCTGACTCAAAACTCAAGGCCTGGGTGTATGTACATGTCAAATTCAGTCAAAAATATGCCATGAGAAAGTTCCAGTGTAATGTTGTATCTTGACAAACATTTGTGGTATTTGTTCTACTATTTGCAATTCTTGCCCTATTTTCTATCTCCCCTTGTGTCCCATTATATTTGAATAGAGGATCAGAGTGATGATAAGAATTTCATTTTTTCTTTTTCCTTTTCTTCTCCTGATCTCACACAAAATTGTGTTTGCACTGGTCTTAGTTTAAGATATTTATTGAAGCCTCTTCTTTGGAAAGCAAACGTACGCATGCATGTCCAGTTTGTGGTATGATGAGTTTCATAACAAATCAGATAAAGCAAATATACATTGATCAGTTCTTGAATAGCTCTGGAATGCACGTTCATCTGAGTATGACAGGGTGTGGGTTGTCGATACGTCATTTAATTTATACAATGATATGTCGTTATACATCATTCAAGAAGATTTAAAAGTGTGATTGTGTATTCTAGAACACTTTTTGCTTCCGAGTGTCATTCAAAGTTCATGATCCAGTTGCCTGAATGAAGTGTTGGAATGGCGGATGTGACGCTCAGTAGTAATGTTTGGAATGGGATTTCATGGCCTTGCGATCAGCCATTTTCAAAATTTGCAAATTTAATTCATTTAATTCAAGATATTTTTTTACAAACCCAAATGCATGAACATGTATGTGACGCTCAGTAGTAATGTAGTGTTTGAAATGGGATTTCATGGCCTTGCGATCAGCCATTTTCAAAATTTGCAAATTTAATTCATTTAATTCAAGATATTTTTTTACAAACCCAAATGCATGAACATGTATGTGACGCTCAGTAGTAATGTAGTGTTTGAAATGGGATTTCATGGCCTTGCGATCAGCCATTTTCAAAATTTGCAAATTTAATTCATTTAATTCAAGATATATTTTTACAAACCCAAATGCATGAACATGTATGTGACGCTCAGTAGTAATTTAGTGTTTGAAATGGGATTTCATGGCCTTGCGATCGGCCATTTTCAAAATTTAATTCAAGATATTTAAGAAAAAAACTTACTTTAAAAGCTAACTTATATAAAACTTACACCCAAGTGCATGAACATGTATAATCGCTACAACATACAAAGTTCAGCTTGCTACTAGGTATTGCTTAATCAAAGGTGTCTTTTTAAAAATAAAATTATCTCTTTCTGATATGGCCTATCTTGATGTATTTATTTAGTAATAGAATACACTGTGTTACAAACTGTGTTCACTGAACCTAAATACTAAGCATTAAAATATAAATGAAAACAGCAGTGGTGGTATTGAAGAGGCAATGAATACATTTTATACATATAAATGTAGGGCCTGCAGAAGGTGTCGGCCAGGCCTTTAATTACTATCAAGCTAAGTGAAAAACCTAATTTATTGATGATACCTGGTGATTGATCAGGTTAAATTGATGAGATTATAAGAGGGTGTGATGGTAATTGCATCATGTTTGTCTGTGGTATATCTGACACTTTACGGATATATAATTATACTAAAAGACAAATTAAAGACAGTAGTCATAGCAACCATATTTTTCACCTTAAAACACCTTGACAATACGTGTAATTTTATTACTTGCTGATATGTCTCTATGCTGGTTGTGCTATAGCTTGGTGGAGGAGGAAAACCTGTAGGTTATGGATATGAACCCATTAAATACTGGATTGTCTCATTATAGGTTTTGCCACCTGGGCATCGTTTCACAAAACCATTGTAAGTACAAGTTCGCCGACAACCCATTGAAACTTATATATTAATATTTACATGCATTTCAATGTGATGTCGGCGAACTTGTACTGATGATGATTTTGTGAAATGAGGCCCAGGTTCTCATAGGCAATGGTTTAATTAGCGCTTTCCATATGCAGGCAGGTCATGCTAGCTAGTGCAGTCAGTGTTATCAATGAATGATTGATTGAATTTATAGATGGAAATATGGATGAATGAATAAATGAATTTATAGATGGATAGATGATTGATTGATGCATGAATTATGGATAGATGCAAGACTGACTGAATGAATAGATGAATAGATGGATGAATAAATTGAAAAACAAATTAATTACAATCAATCACTTAATTAATGGATTAATCTATGAGTTAAAGTGATACCTGCCACAAGGAAACATAAAGAAGCTGCATGTGCACAATGTACAGCTCAACAGAATAGTTTGGATAATACTTTAAACTTATGATTATACGTCGTGGAAATATTAAGTTTCGTTATTATGTCTACATGTATTATGTAAAAAAAAACATTTTGACATGAAGAAATTATTGTTTGTATATGTTGTATTGTACCTTACATTTATATGTTCTTTGTTATTCAGTAATGCTATATTTGGAAAAATGCAGAAATAAAATCAAAAAAATAAAATACAATTCATATATACTTATTTTTACAGGTCTCTTAACTTTCCACTTTTGTCAAGTATTTGTCAGTGGTTAACAGGTCCCTTCATGCTTTTCAACCAAATAATATTTGCATCATCACACACTAAACCCTTCTCTTAATTATCACCTTCAGGTCCAGTCTATCTTGCATTTGAGAGTATGGAACCGGTCAGACTGGACTTTTTCCTGAGGACCGTCCAAGATGTCCACAAGCCGGTCACCATGCATGTTCCGGACTTCAACATCACCACGCCCCTCATGCCCCTGCTCCTCAAGTTTGCAGCGGACATCGCAGCGGGTCTCTCACACCTTGCTTCAAAGAGGGTAAGAATAGCTCATGAATGAACTTGGAAAATGTTTTGATATAGATAGGAAATGGTGAAATAGTGCATGTATAACTATCCCGAACTGCCTGACCAAGTTTTTCTTTTAAAGAAGTTTGCATGAATATGATTGTTTAGGTTGTTAAAAGAGAAATTGTCTCTCTTTGTGTCAATATTTCATGCATGACCAAACTTTTCAGTCAATATCAAAAAAGATTGATGAGCTAGGTGACAAAATCTGATACCACCAATTGGCCAAGGAACCTAAAATTACCTGTGCAAAAATGTCCTTTAGCATTAGATAGGAAATTCTGAAAAATTGACCAAAAAAAAAAATTTTAATGTATGAACTCATTTTGCATGTCTGAAGTAAAGACTCTTCTTTAGGAAAATACTAACATATTCAGACAAGGCTGTATCTTTGGAAGTTGGGGGGGGGGGGGTATTGGGTAGGGGTTGTTATTTTGTTTATGCAGAGCAAAGTATTTAATGTTCCCTCATCTCTTCCCATTTAATAGAGAAAAGTACATGTATTTCATGCAAAACAGATAATCTTACAATGATATCTAGTTAAATGTAATTGGGTGAAAAATCTTACTAATACAAGCCTCAAGCAATTTTTCCTTCCAGAAAAAATAAGTAGTTTGCTAATATCATGTTGGGCTCTTGCGTAGGTGTATTCATGTACATCTCTTTTTACAGTAGAGAGGTATGTAGATGCATAGACAACAATTATCATTGTGGTGTAAATTGCAAATAAAGACGACAAAGAAAAATAGTTGACTACCCTTTAATGCGGTTTTTCCTATTCCTGGACCTTTGATAGAATGGAGACTTGTCTGGGAGACATTGAACTGAGATATATAGTTCATCGACATATTGCGATAGAACATTTATTTTTGTGGTCTAACATCCGATCACAAAGTAATATTGTTGTGGTTTAACCTGTAAAGCCCTCTTGGGGGTATGTTTATGCATGGGAGTGGGGAGCATTCTTTTGATTTCCTGCGCAATGTCTGGAGCTGTCTCCTGCATTGATCAGTGTTTGTTCCTTTGAAGTGGAAAAATGAAGGAAAATTTCTATCACAATCTGAAAGAAATTTAGGTGAAAACGGAAATGTGAATGATTAGAACATTGTGTGGGTGAATGCTTTTTGAAGGCTATTTCTTTCTTATTACATGAAATATGTGGTTCCTTTTTATTACTCCATTACACTTGGTTCAATTTACTGTGCATTATGTTAATAAATCACAATTACTGCACCGTTTCACACAATACCGGTACATATTACACATACATCAAATTTGGGCTTGTCGTGCCGCCTCATAAAATATTCCATTAGCGTGTGCGATACCCTTGTATCCTACTCAAGGCCATTTTCATGTAATATTGTTAACAGGAATCATACCAATGTTATAATTAAATGCAAACATTGAAAATATAATGGTTTTAATACATGAAACAGCAGACATAAATCACTTAAAGTCAAAGTTTACATGAATTTGTTCTTATGTTATGTTTCAATTATGCTATATTCAATTACTGACAAAAGACTTGTATTCAATGGCGCCGTAGTAATTGTTGCTACACATACATGTATATCCTTCTCCATCAAAATGTCAAGGATGGATTGATTGTTGTTTCACCACATCTGTATAGAAAATATGATATTTTATCATGATATTTACAGATGGAAGACAATTTCACTGTAATTTAGATTGAGAATAGTAAATACAAAGTATTTATTTTCTCCACCCCTCTGTTTTCTGACTAAATAGATGTTAAACTTTGTTAATGTTAATATTTTGTTATGAAAATTCATGCAAAGATAGAAATGATATAAGATATATAGCCTCAATGTAACCTTCCCCATGAATAATCAGTTTGTTTGAAAAGTGTTTCAGTTGAATTTTTGTCTTTTCAGTGCTTTCAAGAGTCACTTGTAGAGGATTAAATTCTGAATTTGAAATAAATAACTTATAGTACATGTCATGAGAGGAAGTTGGAAAAGGTGAATAGGTAGAATTATAGAAAAAATGGTTTTACATAGACAATGACAGCACAGGTCAAAAACCCAACTGTGATGGATGAGATATTCCTTTTGAAGTGGGGGGAAATAGATTAGATACAATGTAGACTTTCATGTACGGAAAAAAGAAGAAGGGCCAGGCAATATATTTCAAACGCGATATTAAAATACACGTGATAAAAATATGGTTCATTCTCATGCAGGATAGATATTAATGATGTGGCCTTGGATGTTTGTTGTTACAGATCGTGCAGCACAATCTAGGGGTGAGGAATATTGCACTGACTGCCGATCTCGTTGCCAAGGTAACCGATTTCGCCATCAAAGATGAGACTCAGAACACGGGACGAGCTGTGAACGGAGATTCGGTAAGTAGAGAGGAAATTTATTGTAATGTAGACAGGAATAAGAGAGAGAGAGAGAGAGAGAGGGGGGGGGGGAAGAGGGGGGAATAAGAGAGAGAGAGAGAGAGAGGTGGAGGTAGATAGAGGAGAGAGATGGAGGGGGCGAGGGATGGAGGAAGATGGAGGGAGGGTGGAAAGGAGGGAGAGGGAGTGAGAGAAAGAGGAAGAGAAAGAGAGAGAGAGAGAGGGGAGGGAGAAAGACAAGGGAGAGAGAGGAAAGAATTACAGAATTGTACAAACAAGAATGAGAGCAGAGAAATGTGGGGAATAATTATGGACTTGACTGGGGTAATATGAATTATTTGTGTTGATTGCTGGGAGGGGAGAAGGAGAGAAGGGGAAGGAGAGAGGGGGTGGGGGAGGGAGCAGGAGAAATAGATGAGAGATATATATATATAACGAGGGAGAAAAAATAACTGAAGAGGATGAAAAATGTAAGAAATTGAATAGTATAATGATTGAAATTTAATGGAAATCTATTTTATTATAGAGGACTAGGAGTTTTCAGAGTTATTATATAATCTTATAGAAAACGAAAATCATGACCCCTTATGCAGCCATTAATTGTCATACTCTTTTTCTCCAATGCTATTTTATATTTTCACAAACATGTATTTTTGTTAATATTACAGCAATCATCATTCCCATCTAGTGCAAGATGGATGGCCTACGAGACACTGGTATTCAGCACATGTACAGAAAAGAGTAATGTGTAAGTATTATGATGAAATATTGAGCTCACCATTTTATCAAGCCCAAATTCAAATTCAAATGAACATTTCTTTTCTTCCATTCAATTTGACGACGTATTTGACATCTGTTCAAACAATACACTTTATACTTAGGAACATAAATATAATTAAAGAACTGGTATTACAAGGAATAAGGCATGAATCTTGATAAGCAAAGCTTGTAATGGGTAAGCCTGAATACACAAGTACATGTTGAAGCAAACAAAGTAGAATTCATAACTTATCAGTTGTAGCATGAGCTGTCACTGTTGATTGGTTGATATAGGTAATAATTCAAATGTTATGAATCAAAACCTCTATTGAAAAGCCTGAGATTGTTTTTTCTAAATAAAAATTGTAAACAAAAAATTAAGATACAAATTGAAAAGCATTTTTCCTAAATAAGTAGATAGAATTTCCTTTTTGAAGACATATGCTGGTTGTCTCTTGTGGAGCATGTATGTATTCAAACTTGCACAATGGTATTGATTTTAAAATTGTTGCTAATCATCTGCTAGATCGAGATATGATTTTAGGTCTGATCAAGAGAATAATCCAATGTTTTTCTACTCTCTTTAGATGGTCTCTTGGTGTTATAATCTGGGAAATCATGTCATTTGGTGAGTATACATGTTCTTTTTCTCTTTCCTCAGACTGCTTATTGGTTTATTATAATATTCAACATTCATTCTCTCCAAGCGCTATAGTTTTCCTTAGAACTATAAGCAAAGAAAGATAACAAACAGTCCTTTTCAGGACTACACACCCCCACAAAAGATTACCGAGTCAGAGTCCTTTCCTGGACTCCTCAACCCTCTCTCTCTCTCTCACATGGTGCATCCGCAAGCCTACTGTATAACATTCAAAATGTTTTGAATAACTCATTTCTTGGTTTTAAAGTCACAAAAGACTGTTTTCTAATCACAGTAAATTTTCCTCATGTTTATTTCTATTTAAACATGATTCTTTTTCAAAAGGATGTCATTTGGCACGATGTCCTCCCCCACTTTGATACTTTTGTTTTAAAAAAAGTGATATTTGTTCAAGCTAAATGAAGCATGCTTGTAAATTTGGAACTTTTCTAAAGTTGACTGTCCAGACTTTTTTATTTCATGGGATTTTTTGTAATTAATTAAATATTGGATGAACTGTTAAAAACTAATTCTACAAATTATCGCCCGATATACATATAACAATTTTGTCTCCCATTTTATTTGAAATTAATATTTCATGGCTCAACCAGTGTTCAGTAGTCGATTTCAAATGTGAATTGTTTTGCATTATCAGGTTCTGAGCCCTTCAATGGTTACCCTGTCGATGAGCTGAGCAGAAAACTGACAGAAGGCTACACGTTGAACCAACCAGATGGATGCTTAGACGACATGTAAGCTTACATTATATGTCTTTTGATTTTGGAATTTTAATTTTTTTATTATTATTCCAGTCTTAACAAAATTTAAAAACTGGTATTGTGTAATGGAGGATTATGTTAAAGTAAGGCTTATCATACGTGATTGCTGTCATCCTTTCATAATGTTCGGCAACTATAAGCTTTTCTTTGGATGATTATTTTTATAGCCTATTACATTTACATTTATATTATATCAAGTTTGAATTTTCTATTGATTTTAAAAATTAAATTTAGCTTTAATTATCACAATTCTTACGCCATATTGCCATATATATATTGAGATATATTTCTTTTCTACAAATCATAAATGCATTGAGGCACCAGACATGACTTCTAGTTTGTTGTTTGTTGCAATTATCCTCATTGCAGTTTTGTTTTGTATACTATTTCTTATATAGTTATTACTGTATCATAAAGTAGTTTAATTATCATTTCCCTTGAGCTTTTGCTATAAGAGGTCAACCTGAAAGTGTTGCGAGCCCCAAATTCGCAAACAAATTTGATGGCGAATTTCACTTAAATACATGATGTGAAAGAGGATGACGTTTAAGACACACTTCTGCAAAGATTTAACGCTGAAAATATGTTTAAAGACAAATATTAATAAAGAAAAAATAATTTGGGTTTTCTGTTGTATGCAGAAAACTTAAATGTTGTATTCTTTCATCAATATTCGACTTCAAACATATGTTTTGAAAATCCTTGCAGACATTAAAAAAAAAATTCAAATCTGTGACATTATTTTAATTTTCCATTTTCTACAAATCTTATGAAGATATGAAATCATCCAGAACTGTCTGAGACTAGAACCCGACGAGAGACCGAATCTGAGGAGTCTGGTTGCTAGACTAGTAAGGAGATACCAGAGCATCAAGTTACAGGTAATGTGAAAAGGATATTCCCCTTAGTCTTTTGTAGAGTATGATTGCGCGACTTTTGGTCATGCACAAAATGTCAATTGAGGGATTAAGAGTCATTGTACATGTATTTTGTATTGTATTTATTAAACTTCATTGATTTATGGATAGTCAACCTGTTCGAAACATCGAACCACTGCCGCCACTCATCCTCTCCAAGCGCTATAGTTCTCCTTAGAACTATAAGCTAAGAAAGATAACCAACAGTCTTTTTCAAGACTATACCAAACAGTCATTTTCAGGACTACAAACCCTCAAGAAAAATTACAGAGAGTCCTTCTCAAGACTCCTCAATTCTCCCTCTCTCTCACATGGTGCACCCGCAAGCCTACTGTACATTTACATGTACTTTTCTGCTTTGGAATGAGTGTCTAGTTCATGTACATTGTATATTTTCTTCTGTTGCAGAAGTAGTTCTTCAGTAGGTTTTAATGTGTGAAACATTTGTTTGTGCTTCTTGAGATGATATCTATGATATTTCAGTTATTGAAAAGAACATGATTTCTTGCTGCATTTTTGTAACAGAGAAAATTTAATTCACAGACTTTGGCAAGATTATTTAAGGTACAAGTATATACTACCGGTATGTGTCATCTGATTTAAATCCTTCTCTTTCTTCTCTTTCAGGACAAAGAGACGAGAGCTGAGGTGTTCCAATCCCTCGCCCAGTTGAGTGATAACCATGACAACATGAGCCCACCTCAGATCAGGAGTATGGAGATGCTTGTCAATGGGAATATAGATAAGGTAAGGGCTCATATGGTACCTGTTTCACAAAGCATTTTTCCAACGACAAATCTACTGATAACCAATCAGAAGCAAGGATTTTAGTAGCTTATAACAAAAACTGTCATTTGTCACTGATGACAAGTTTTGTGAAATGCCCCCCATAAGTTCATCTGGGACCCGTTTCACAAAACATTTTTCCAATGACAAATGCCAAAGATCAGTGACAAATCTCCTGATAACCAATCAGAAGCAAGGATTTCAGTAGCTTATACAACAACTGTCATTTGTCACTGATGACAAGTTTTGTGAAACGCCGCCCAGGACTTTAGAAATACCTCGTTGGATGAAATAAGGAAAGGACTCAGAGCATGTCTTTAGAATAGATACATTTTGCAGGTAACCATATATTTGTATCATGTAGTTTAGGCTTCTACCAACCTTAATATTTCGTAGGCAAATTTTCATCCACTCCAGACCTGTGGACTTTCTCAAGGTGATTCTTCACACAGTCAAACCAATATTTTTGACATAATTTTGCGTAAGTCAAACTATATTTTTGCAGTCCTAATAGATACGACTGATGCAGAATTAACTGTACATGCACCTCTGAAAACATCTTTCCTATTTCCATCTGTCTCTCATTCTGTCTCTCTTTCTACCAACAGGAGTTAGCCCAGGCTAGGCTAATGGCTGTCCAGTATGCTGCCACGGCGTTCCCTGGCAGTCACGTTGCTTCCAAGTACACGTTACTCTCAGCTTGTGGAGACGAGTGAGTTCTAAACTTTTATCAGTCTTCATACACTTTATGTAGATATCTGAGTTCTATGTGTTTTGAATGCTGATCCCTCGAATGATAATAAAAAATCATAATCAATTAATATCACCATCCATATGAGACTTATGTGTATATTTAATCAAGGGCTACATTTGTAAGTTATAACAAATCGTGGATTATGAGAGTAATGTACTTGGCTACTCAAAGAGCAAATATCATGTTCAGACTCTTGCAATCATATTGAATCTTTTATTAGACTCAACAGAGAAGCCATACATTTTCGATTATAGTTTGATTCTATCCATCACCTCAAAGACTTGTCTGAAATAGCAACAAGAAATGCCATCAAATGTTTGCTTGACAGGAGAAGCACAATGTTTGAAGCACAATCCTTCACTATTGAAATATACAACTGTCCATTAATTTTAAACCATTTGTTGTTGTTCCTACAACAGGATTGAAGTTGTGAGGACAGAAGCCAACAACATTATCAAGATGCAGGCTAAGATTGCAGAGATGGATATGGACTCGGACACACCCTCAGGGAAGATGCTCCCAGCCTTCCCTCTCATGATTAACCAAATCAGAACAAAGGTAGGATATCGTCAGTACTCTATGTTAGGGTGGGTCGGGTCGATGGGATGGGGAGTGGTGGGCGTGGTAGGGTAGGGTAGCTGAGATGGACATGGAATCAGACACGCCCTCGGGGAAGATGCTCTCAGCCTTCCCTCTGATGATTTACCAGATCAGAACAAAGGTAGGATATCGTCAGTACTCTATGTTAGGGTGGGTGGGGTCGATGGGATTGGGCGTGGTGAGCGTGGTAGGGTAGGGTAGCTGTGATTGATTTAGAATCAGACACACCCTTGGGGAAGATGCTCCCAGCCTTCCCTCTGATAATTAACCAAATCAGAACAAAGGTAGGATATCGTCAGTACTCTATGCTAGGGTGGGTGGGGTCGGATGGGATGGGGGGGGGGGGGGGGACTATCTTCAGTATTCTCTGTGTGTCATGTAAATGTGATCCACATTATCATATCTTTACTGACTCTCTCTCTCTCTCTCTCTCTCTCTCTCTCTCTCTCGCTCTCTCTCTCTCAAGTTATAGGGTCCTATTGTAATGTTAAACAGATCCTATGAGGATGAAATAGGCTGCTTATTATTTAATACTTGTATATCTAATGAATTTGGGAAAGTTCAAAGTATTCATTTATTTTAGTGTAGAGTTCTAAACATAAATTGACATCAAATATGCCCATACACTTCATATTTGGTCTAGTAGTCCAAACCTCTTGTAGGGCTATTAACTGAATACAGTGACCATATACTATCAATCTGAGATATGGTCGGTAACTAAAGAAACAAAATAGAGTGTACTTGCCCAGTTTACCATGCTTATTTTCTGTTGATTTTCAAACTTATATCCACTTTGAACAGGCCTTTGATAACTTGCCACACTCTAGTCAGAAGTCACAGGGACCTCTTGGAGTCTTCACGATACCATTCAAAGCCCTCGTCTATGAAAAGGTAAGCCCATCAATTCACAAGGCATTTCCAGAGCTGCCAACCATTACGTTTATCCCGGAATTGTTCTGTTTTTTTCTCCAAATTACGATTTTTTTCTCATAAAATATGTTTTTTAATTTTTTGAAATTTATATGTAGAGCCTTCAATTTCAAGGGAAAATGGAGATGTTTTCCTGCATGACATTGCAGTTTGTCAAGCTTATGCTGTAGGCCATCTCTTAAAGGTTCACATTCCCTCAGAAGTATAGGGGGTAATAGTTGTGCTATGCCTGTTATCACCACTTCTTGTACCATCCCTCTCTCCCAGATCGGCGTCTACTTGCGGATGTGCTTGGCCTACTCTGCAGAGGTATCGCCCAACGTCTTCAAGACAAGCGAGATGAAGAAACAAGGTCCGGCCCTCAGTCGCTACGTCAACGACCTCGTGGAGATGTACGCAGGAGATTCGGGCGCCCCCGTTTCCACCTACACCGGTCTCCTGAGGCAGTACGTGTCGGCCATCGGAGGTGGGAGGGGCTTGTTCTCTCTCCTGGAGGTCGTTGCTATGGCGCCGGATAAACTGGCGCCACAGTTTGTGAAGAAGACAGATAGTCTGAAGGTACATACACACATTTTGATGTTTCTATTTTTACCCCCTTTCATTACAATGTCTTTGTCTGTCGATGTACCTGTTTATCAATATCTCTGACAATTTCATACCCCACTACACTGACAAGACAGACACCAAGGAATACAGAATACAGGCAGAATAGACTGAATAGACTGAACTGAACTATGACATTACGTTAAACGACTAAGAATTTCTTGAATTTCATATTCACCCTATTTCAATCACTGATTCATTCAGAGTTGACAATTCATTTATAATTCATGTCATAATATTCAATAATACACTTTACCCTCAGATGTTGCTGTATTCTGATGAGGAAGCAGTGCGCCTCTACGCAGCTCAGCTTTTGGGCGTGGTCCTCTGTTACGCCCCACCTACACTGGTGGTCGATACCATCATGTCCTTCACCTCAAGACTGGACTCAGATGTAAGTACCCCCCCCCCCCCTCCTCACTCTCCCAAACCCTCCCTTCTTTTAGTCTTACCACACTTATGCCACTGAATGATCCAGATAGTGATACAGATCAAGTCTTGTGGAGACTCAATCATCCCTCAATCATTCTTGCTGTTTGATTGGTATTGGCATTGGTATTCAAATTCAGTTCTGGTCGAAATTCAACCCTAATACTTCTGTAAAATGTTCCTGTGGATAGTAAATTTAAATCTGTGAATGAAAAACTACTAGACAAGAAAAGCAGTCTTTTTAGGCAGGTGATCTTTAATTACAGGTTCCTTTAAAACGTGTTTACTTGGAAACAAAATAAATGTGAATAAATCAGCAATTGTTTTAGGACTAAAATAACTATGCATAAGGGCTTTTGATCAAAATTCATTGCTTCAGCCCAAACTTGGTACAAGAGGATTTTGACAACACTTTTTGAAAAGGCTGCTGCTCATTCTTCAGAGTTATAAATATGGTATCATTAGACAGAATATTAGTGACTCTTTAAAATGAAATATAAGTGAAGGTCACACATGTTTTAACTTTTTAATGGGAGTTAACCAAGTTTGGGTATACTTGTTTAAATATACACGGTATAGGAGGTCTTCCTGTACAGGTAGTTGTTGCTAAGGAAATATATGGAAATTTTCATCCCCTTTTGACATTTTAAGATTTATCTGTAACAAAAAAAAATGATTGTTTCAAGTTAGCCATCAAAGTAGAGAGAACCAAATCAAGTAATTCTTTATGTCATACGTACATCAAACTTTTCCTTTTGTTCATGCAGTCAATCGAGAGCTGCCAAGCTATGCTCTGGGTTCTGGGCTTCACCATCGGAAGACAGATGCAGAAGGAGATACAAGCCAACAAGGACACATTCTCTAGACTGACCGACACCCACAACCTGGGAGAAAATATCTACAGGAGAGCCACCGAAGCAATAGGTATGTGAGGAGGGCTTGACATTAAGAGGGTTTCGAGAAAACGTAAGGTGACGTAGCAGGGCCCATTTGTTAAAATGACTCCCCCCCCCCCTCCAACATGGAATAAAAATAGGTTGTACAGTTGGAAGAGAATTTAAATAGTATGTAAGCTATGTTGTGCACTATACTGAAGCTTTCTGTTAGTATAGCCAGCTTAGCACAGTATGGTGCATGAAACTGGATTTTCTTTTTTTATGTACCTGAATTTACTTTGCTTATGTTGCTTAATATAATCTAATTTGAATATTAGTCATGGGTCGAGTTCTCATGATGTTCTGTAATTTCTATATATACACGTTTTTTAAACTTTTTTATGTTACATATGTGTTTCTTGATAAATGAATTAAAAAAGAAAAGAGACAGCATTTTATGGTCCCCGATAACAACCTGAATCCAAGCCTTTAATAATTTATTTATCATTGGTAAATAATGACTCCACTGACTTTGAGCATTTTGTAAATTTTACATCATTCCCCTTAGCCTAAAAAGTAACCAAATAATGATAATATCAAGCATAAACCACAACAAAACCTGCCATTGCGATAAAAAGTGATCGGCATTGAAAAAATTCAGCTGACTGATTTTTTTTCTTCTGTCAATTCACAGTTGCCAAACTGGAGAGCAGCAATCCCACCATAGTCAAGGCGGCCTGTACAGCAATAGCGGAGATCGGGCGCAACGGCCCCATCCCTCTGCCCAAGGGAGGTAAGACCAATGGACGATCAACCACCAAAGGCAGCTCGGAAGGCTCGGTCAGGAGCAAGAACGGTGCTACCGGACCCACCAAGCTGAGTCTCGTGCAGAGACTGACAGATATATTCACCAGAGACTCTGTGCTTTACGTGCTTGAGGTAAGGAAATGTGATGGCTTGTCATTTCATCAGTTTTATTTGATTTGATTTATTTATTTCTGTTTGATTTTCTTTTTCTTTTGCAGTTTTACAAATATATAACAAACAAAACATTGCAAATTTTACACATGACAAAAGAATGTATGTAGAATAATGTAAGGCTGGCTGTAACAAATCAAAAACATACTTTTGCTGTAAACAAACCTCCAGTTTCACAAACTTTATGACTTTCATGCAGGTGAAGAAGGAAGCAGCCGAAGCCCTTGCCCATCTGATGGTAGGAGAGGCCGAGTTCCCTTACAGCAAGCTTGTCTTAGAAGCACTACCCAAGGGTCTTAAGGTAATTGCACTGCCTTGAGAACTATTAACCTCATTGTACCATATTCTTAAAAGTCGTCCAACTTTGGGACATATTTGAACCCACCCCAAATGCCTGGAGTTAAAGTGTATCAAATTTGAACTTCTTCATCCTTTAAAAATCATGATTCCAGTAACTATATAGAAAAGAAGAAAAAAGGCCTTTGAAATTTGCATTTTCATTCCGTGATCTAATCATTTTTGTTATTTTATAATATTTTGTTGATGTAATTACTCGTTTTCATTCAAAGCTTGGGAGTGAGTCTGCACAAATCAGTTTCTGGTTTAAATACAGAGAGTGAATGCTGCTCAAATTTAGAACTTTGTTGCCTGTTTGGGTAGAAACTAACTGAAAGAAATATATTTGTCACTTCTGAATGGCACAAATATCATTTATCAATCCAAATGATAGAAATATCATTTGTCATGTCTAAAATAAAGCAAAGACAATTATTATCTCCATATTTGCGCAGATCTCAGCACCCAGCAGAGAAGAACTCTTCCCCTTCCAGTTCCATCTTGCCGATGTCCTATCCACTGCCCTCCAGGGGCCGTCAGCCCCCGCTGCTCTGGACCCCTGGCTGGACGAGAGCACCACACCCCTCGGTAGGGCCACGCCCACCAACGGGTCCCTCAAGGCACTCCTAGACACCCTCCTCACGGATCGGCGGGAGACAAACAACTCAGATGAAAAAGAGGTGAGGAACTGTTCTTGAGGCAGGAAGATGAAAGGATATATTCCATCTGGGGGGTGTTTCATAAAGCTGTGCTTTAAGTTGCGCATGACTTTACGAATGACTTGAATATGAAGAGCTAAACGTGATTCTCAAATCCTTTTAATTGCATAAGCTAAAGTTGAAATATGCAGATGTAGATTAACCTTATCATTATTAACAAAACATTTTAATGCAAAGTGTATTTTTGACTACAATTTTAATTGAGATTATGGGAAATACAGACACACCTTGTTAAAATGTCAGAAAAAACTTTGGGCATCCCATTTGGCTCTTCATATTCAAGTCCTTTGTAAAGTCATTCATAACTTTATGCACAGCTTTATGAAACACCCCCCCCCCCCCCCCCCCAGCCATGGGAGTCAGAAGGGCTAAACCTCACATACTTAAACACAGATTTGATATCCTTTGGCATATCCTTTGGCATACCTTTTTTTTTTTTTTTTTTTTTTTGTGTGTTGCTTAAGCCAAATTAAGCTCGTTTTATCATATGCCGCGATGTGAGAGTTCGCGTATTGCGTGCATTGAAGGGCTGCATGATTGAGCAGTGAATTTGTGTTCGCTTTTTTGCACAGATTTACTGCATATTGCCAGTTACGCTGCCGCTGCATGTGCGAACGCCTGTTAAGGGTACAGATTTCTTATTTTCGAAGACATACCGTGCTAAAAATTCTTAATTCTCATTTTCAAATGTTGGCAGGTATGCTTTGGGTTCCAAACTGACAATTTGTAATTTGTTCAGTATTTTGGCTGTATTTTTTTGTGGTTGCATCGATTGAGGCTGCAAAAGCATTTTAATGATTATATTTAGACAGTAATCAACACACAGTCAGGTTGTGTAACATTGTGTTTAAGAAATACAAAGACATTTATTTTTGGAGAGAAGTGTAGAGAGAGAGAGGGAGAGAGAGAAAAGGCGAGTGAGTGAAGAGAAAGAGAGTTGAGAGGGTGAAAGAGAGAGATAGAGAGAGAAGAAAAGAGATAGGAGGACAATCAGAGAAGGGAGAGAGAGAAGGAAAGAAGGAAAGAGATGAGGAGGACGATCAGAGAAGAAAGACAGATAGACTGATGAAGAGAAGAAACAGAGGAATGTAGAGAAGTTGATCTAATAGTGAGATATATAAACATATATGACTATATTTCTCTTTTTCTCCCTATTTCCTCCAGGCAATAGCTGTTATGTTAACAGTCCTATTTGAGACATTCAGGCACAATCAAAGTATTCAGGTAAGAATTTTGTTTCCCTTCATATTATTTTGATTCTAAATTTTAGCTAATATTTACAACAGTATTCTGTTTTTGTTTGAAATGGTTTTTTCTGCAGTTGTGAAATATACCTGATTTGGATTTATCTGGATTTTGTATAGAAAGTACTGTAGCTATTGGAATGGTTTAGTGTATTTTATCAAAGCAATTTATATGCTTTAGTTTAACATTTAAAATTGCTCCAGATAATATGAAATTGTACATTCTTCACAACATGTAGGTTAATAAGGATCTGTATTATAATATAAGTGGTGTGTTTGAAAACTGTGATCATAATGCATGAAATTTAAATGGATGTTCTAAAAAGCTACAAATTGATATCACTACCATTGAATGTTCATTACATATTTATAAAAGGTATGCATCATGTTTTCCCCAAAATTTCATATACAACAATACCTAACAGCTCATAAGCTTATCTTAGATTTAACTGAACTAGCAAGAAAGACTGCTTGTGAATTTTTGTCCTGGTAAAGAAAATATATTTTGCTCTTATTTAATCACATGCACATGGAGCTATGAAATATTTGCAGCTTAAACCAGACTTTTCTTCACAATGTTTATTTTTCAATCTTTCTCTTGATTTCAGGATAATGAAGCTGAAATGATGAGCATCATAAAAGACTCTGTTATGGAGTGGGATGGTAAGAGAGTTTTTCCTTTTATTTCCTTTCCATTTGTAGGAATATAGCAATTTTGTCATCTTATTCCAACCCTTGAGTGATAAGAAAGATATGTCAGAGAATACACGTTTGGCAGTGAAAATCGAGGGATGCACAATTCTTTTCACTTTTGGTATTTATTAATTCCTTTAAAAGAATTGAACATGTAAGTGTAGAAAAATACCTGGTGTATTATTTGAAACCTTTCAACTTTTTCTTAGGTGAGGGGCAGACACAGATGGTTTACGGATCAATTGATAAGGATGGTTGTGGGCTGTTCAGGGACTAAAGGGTCAAGGGTTGTACAAGGCATGCTCGCGTGACAAATGCTTTGCCGTTGATTTTCCATAATAAAATTAATTCTTATCTTCAAATTCTTGACCACCCTCAACCTTATAAAATTTGAGGGAAAAGAAATCCCAGATCAGTTGTCGCCAGAGCAAAATGTCGGATCACTTCATCATGAAACCCAACTATATCTTGTTTACCCCCACAGGCAGTGGTGTCGTCTCCGAGCTTCCTCGCGATCTTCAGAAGCGTATCCTTAAGGTCCTGAAGCTGACGAGGGCGTCTAACGATACGTCGTCCCCTTTCGCAACCGGGATGGACTCCAGCGATGCTTCCTCATCGCCTGTATCCGGGATGGACTCTGATGAACCGCTGTATGCGGCCGTGCACAGGCGGGTTACGCCCGACGTCCACAGCAGCTCCGCAGACGGTTCTGAAGACACGGTGAACGATGACACCCCGATGCTCAATGATGCCACCAATGAAGACGATGAGCTGACCTCAGTTTAAAGAGACAAGGATGTGTGTATCGAAATCTTGCATTGTGAAACATGACATTGATGAGGTGAGAGATACAGATGGGTCCGTTGTAGTCTTGCAATGTGAAATATGACAGTGGGTCCTGCAATGGTTGTCTACATAGATCTGACAGAACTAAATGGAGAGTTGATCATGTGGAGGACGTATGGTGCTATAGGGAGTCATTTGATTACCATGGCTTATGAAATCAGTGATGCCAATTTGTAGGCTTTAGACATTTTCAGGCCCCCATCACCCTTTCATTAAAGGCTTTTTCAAACTCCACATTGTTACACATAGGATCAAATGGGGATCCCATATGCCTAGATTGATGCCCCTTTGATGAAACCAACTTGTCTCCATGATAAATACTTGTTAAACCCTTACTGTATGGGCTTGACCAAAGGCTGAGTTACGTTGTCGAAAGAGGTGGCACTTGGGATCTGGTAATGCATTTGAATTTGATTCAACCTAGCACCAATATGAGAATGGACTGGGGTTTGTAAGGTCCCATCATGTTTCTCATCATGGAGTTGCTATGCATGGACAAGGCTAAGAATCATATATGGATGTCGATCTAAGCCTTGCATCAGCTCATCTCTGATCAGTGCCATCTTCCTATTTCTAAGTAAAGAGAAGTTCATCAACCAACATCTTAAGGCCATGGAGTGCTTGTGGAGCGCTTGTAAGATTACGTCTTTTATCAAAAGGTCTGTTTTCATCAGACCAAAGTTGCAAAATAACCCACTATTTTCAGACTCGGGATATTTTCCCCAAGCTTGAAATTGCATCCCCACCAGACCGATACGCTCATTACAAACTAGATGAAGATGGGCGCAAATTAGCCCGCTATTTGGGAAATAGCGAGCTATTTTGTATAAAACAAGACCAAATTTCTCAGGATATTTTCTCGACCAAATAACTGGCTGATGGCAACTGCGGGTTGATGAAGCCGCAAATTAGCTGGCTAATTTGAGATCGGGCTAGTTAAAATAGGGGGTAGTGTTTAACCCAAACATGAGGAAATAAAGGTATTGTCATTAGCACGATATCCGACTAACATTATATTCATAGAAGAATTTTAAAAGTTTTCTAACTCAATTGTTGTCTAGTAAATTGACTTCATGCAAAGTAAAGAGAACTGCATAAATATCTGTTATTGAGGGGTGCATACGATCATTGCCAATTTGAAGCATTTTGGGTATGGCAATGATGAATTTTTATTGTGAAAATGAAGGATTTCACTGTGATGCTTTTTACTGTATATCTGATGCTGCATTTGTATGACAGGTGGCCACGTTGCCTTGTCTATTATGAGAGTTTCTCACACACGTTTTATTGATTTTCATGGAAGATGGTATTGTGATAAAACTGCGATACACTGTACTTGCTCACTTTGTCAAACAGGGAAAAGGAGTTGTTAGATTAAATAGATTTTAGGATTGAAGGTCAAAAATTTGCTAGTGTTTACAAATTATTGGACAATGAGGGGTGGCAAGATACACAACAATTTACAGCATGATATATTGTTAAATCCTGGGCATGATGAGACTTATATTTATATAAAATGAAGACAAGACTGTGATAAACATGCACCTATTTGCAGGGGGATGCTATATAGATTTAAATGTGATGTACAAACTTGTAAAGAAATGAACAGTACTCTATTATTCTTACTTTGTAAGATTGTACTTGTAAATACTCCAAAGAAACAGATTATCTGTAAATACTACAAGAAGTGTCATATAATTTTCTTGTTTTTTATATTAACTCATTTATATTATCTTGCATTTATTTTACTTTGAGCTACTCGTCATGTGTCACTGTCAACAAGAATTTTAGGATGCAAAGTCCAATCATAAAAAAAATGATGATAAATGTAGTTACATCAACTGCAGCAATCTGCTTTATTAAAATTGAAAATAGTGCGATGGTATAGTGAAGTTAATAAACAGACAGGATATAGATAATCTGTATGCCTTGAATCCACAATCACATTTGTTAAAACCAAGACCAAAACATGGAAATGGATCTTAACAACCTGTTTATATATGATCCATAAATAATACAGATGGGGCAGTTATCGTAATATACACTGTATGTGTATGTTCCATACCATTTGGATGAAATTGCATTGTCATGAAGTCGATTAATTATACAAAATACTTTTAAGAATTTTTATTTACACAAGTTATGCAAAAATAAGAAGCTGCATGCATTAATCTTTTTAGAATGTGCATCCTTAGTACATACCTGTATCTCTTGTTCTGAAATAACTACTGTACAGCGTATTTTTGTATATTTGCAATATTATGCCAAAAATGTGTACCTTTTTAGTAAAGAAACAAAAAGTAGACCAAAATCAAGTTCTTCCATATCTCATTCTTTTAAGGCTGAATATAATGTCTTTCACGTTTAATTCACTGTACTTTTACCCCTTCTCTTCTTCTCTTTTCATTTATGTATGTCTATATTTAGATAATATATTCACATCCAATATTTTAAAGATTTACTTCTTTGACTTGAGCATCAAAGTTCACAAATTACTTTGAACACATATGAATATATTGTCTGTTTGAAGCCACAACTCTGTGTTGAAGTTTATGATGTAACACCCTTATTGCTCCAAATAAATTATACACCTGGATGATGTAATATGAGTGAGGAAGTTGTCTTAAAATGTAACATGAGTTTTTGTTGCATTGCCTGACCTATATGTACATACAAGAATATACAATACACTTGTCATAGCATTAAGGGAATCATACAGTTCATTTATAGAATATTCACCAAATACATTTCATTATAATGTAGCCTAAAAATATTCATTTGCAGTAACTAAACGAGGCTGAATTTGCAAGGGAATGGATTAATCTATGCATTTATGGAAAAATACTGCTTATCCAAAGGCTGTCTTTTGAATTTATCTTGAAAAATATACTGTATATCTGTGTCTTTCATAACTGTCTTTCAATCGTCTCATTGAGATTTTAAAAGTGATGAATTGTTCAAGTTTGTTGAATTTTAATTTTGTTAGTATTCATTTGGAAGAATTTTATATATGGTCTAGAGTGCATCATGCCTTTAAGTTGCGTGTCACACAGATGATTACATTTGATAAACAGTATTTCTTCTAAAATCGAATATTCTGTAAATTCTTGGTTGTTTATTTTATTTTGTTCATTTTATTGTTCCTTGTATCCATGTTCAAATATTTCAATATTTATCTTTTACTTGTCATATCATGCATGTGTTCCTTGTCTTAAATGATGTTTTAAACTTAAATTAAAGAGTGTGTTAATTAAAAGAATCACTCTATATCATATTACACAGATTATATGAATGTTACATCTACAAGCATTATTTTCACAAAGCATCTTTGTTCCATTCTTTTAATCAGCATTTACTGGAAATATTTTATCAGAAGCAAAGATTTTTATCAATTGTCTGTGTGAATCAAACAGAAATCAATGAAAAGTGTTTTGTTGTATATTGTGTTTTGCTAAATAAGTATGTGGAATCGAGAATCAAAAAAGAGAAGTTGTCATTTATGTGTGTAAACTATGTTGTCTTAACATGTATGTATCTTTTTATCCAGATTAATGTTCTTTCATGTAATAAATGCAATTTACCTTACACATTCTTGTCTATCTTTATATACTGTATGTATGTGTGTGTAGTCTATGTGTGTGTTATGATTCTTCAAACGTTTTTACACTTTCTAAAGCAGTCTCAAGTTTTGGTACTGATGGAAAAATAGTATCTCATAGATTCCAAACCATTCTTACCCCAAAGTCTGGCAGTAGTACAATCAAATGTTATCTGAAAAACGATTTTGGTAGAAAATGTTTATTAGCTGAGAAATGCGCAAAGAAAGAGAATATTTTTTTAATAATAACTAAGCTACACGTAGTCGTCAAGGGGGCCGTTTCTCGAAACCGTCCTAAGTCCAACTTCTTAGACATCCCATTGAAATGCGTGTCATAGAACTAACACGCGTTTCTATGTGATGTCCACGAACTTGGACTTATGGCGGTTTCGAGGAACTGGCCCCTGATCGACCACGTGTCAGGCAATGCAGGACGTTTCTTCAGTGAAAAGTGATTTCTATCAAGTTAAACTAAACCAAAACCATTTACAGTTAGCAACTAAATTGTTTATACCCCTTGTGAATCTAAGGGTTTTTGTGTTTTTCGTAACTCAAGAATGAAAGATGAACTGGTTGAATTAGGGCCTTTGTAAGCTTTAATATGTCACATTCTCAAGAAAAATAAGTCAGGACAAATCATATTTTCACATACTGAACAAATTACAAAACTTGGTTAGGCTATGATTCATTTAGTTGTTAACTATTATCTACAGCATAATAATGAATCCAATGTGTCTTATAGGCACTTGAAAACGCCAGATCATTTCTATGTGCCCGTCTTGTAAAGAGTTTATATTAATCGCAACTTATTACCTATTGCATTCAATCGCAACTATGTACATAGGAGATATAGCAGACGGCAAATTTTTGACTGATTGGAGGACTTGCGATTAGGTTGGATCAATCGCAACTCTTTATAAAACAGTGGCCCATATGAGCCTAAACTGACAATGCTTTATCTTTCCTCACTTATATCAAAGAAATAAATTGTCTCGTCACTTTCAAGAGACCTTTAGAAACATACTTCCGCAGTTAATTTATTTACATTCAACTCCTTTGGTATCTTTTTTTGCATTTCCTTATCTCTCCATGGTCTTTCAATCTTTCTTTCCATCCTGTTTGGTCTATATTACTCGTCGTTTTTTTAGCGCCTCTGAGTCGCCAATATTATTATTTTAAGCGTTGCCATTATTATCTTTATTGATCAGCTGTTATATGGATGTAGGACAATCTTTATAGGGAAGGTATAACAACAGATGGTTTGGAATTATGCCACGGCCCAATTAAAAATCATTTGAATGGATGAATCTAGTGAAAAACAAATGAATCATAATATATTGCAATCTAATAGTTCTTTCTGCCAAATGAGGTTCATAGCCCTTTTGTTTTATTATCCTACCTATCTTTCCCTTTCTTCCGGTCTTTCTCTGCCTATATGCATATCATGCACGCATACACCGACACACAAACTCTCTCTCTCTCTCTTTCTTTCTTTTTCTCTTTCTATCTCTCTCTCTCTGTCTCTCTCCATGTTGTTCTCTCTGTCTCTGTATGCCTCTCTCACTCTCTCTCTCCCTCCCCCTTCTTCGCTACCTCTTTCAGTCTCACTCTCCTACTCTTTCTTTTCTCTCTTCTTCTCATATGTTCCCCTCTTGCCCCCCCCCCTCCCTCTCTCTCTCTCTCTCTCTTGCCCCTTTCTCTCCCCTCTCCCTACTTTCTCGTATTTTGTCTATCTCTCTCTTTCCATTATTTTCAATTTTTCTCTTTATTAACAGAAAAAATCTCTCTTTTTCTCTTAACTTATTTAACTTCCCTTCCTCCGTTTCTCCCTCTCTCTCTCTTTTCTCTCTCTCTCTCTCTCTCTTCTCTCTAAGCCCCTCTTTTTGTCTTCCCGCCTTTTCTTTCTCCCTCTCTCTACCTCACTCTCACCCTACCATTTTTTATTCGATAACGTGCCCCGTCTCTTTTGACCTCTATATCGTGCGTTTGTCAAACTGTACACAGAGTGTTACGCAAAAAAAAAATGTCCAGATACACACATGCGGATATTTAAGTTCAGATCTGGTTGCAATTTCCTTACAAACTTTTTTGACACAGCATGGATATCGAGCGTCTAAGAAAAGGGAATCATAATCCATAGAATATTCCTAAGCTGGTTCTATATACATCTAAGGTAGATCTTAAGTTATAACAGTCTGTCGTCTCACAAGCGAATGACGCATCTATTGTTTGGAGTTAGGATGGGAAAAGGGGCGGGGCGGTCAATATTATTTTACCGATGTAACCTCTAGGCCTATTGATCCAAGTCCTGATTGGGAAGTGGGCGCTTACAACGGGTCGGCTAGCTCTAATTTTTGTTTGGATATTTGTTGTACATGTAAGCTTAGATGGATATGGCGTTTGTGGTCCCTTGTGTTTATAATACATACTGCATGTACTATACCTTTATGAAGTTCAATTCAATTCACTGCTGTTTAAACAAAAAATATTGTCAGATTCATGTTGTAAATTTGACCTCAATGAGAAAGCATAGAGAACCCGCAAAACCAGTCTAATAAACTATTTCGAATTGAAATGAATAAAGTGTTACAAGAGACTTTTCATTTATTTTAGACTTGATTTTAATCTTTTATCAAGTTTTGTATTAACTTCATTTGTTTTGTTTCCATTCGTTGACAGCGAAAGCATACGTGGAGCCTGTGACACTATATTCCCATTCTCTCAGAATATCAATACCTTAATTTTTGTTAAAGATGAAGAATAATTATAAACTTTAGTAACTCAATTAAATAATTTGTATTAAAAAATCTTTCTGGGGTAAGGAGGTATGCTAGTGTCTAAGGTTTCCCCCATACAACTAAGAGCAATTCAACACCTTATCATCAACCCACTTCCATTGCATAACACAATTATTTTTGTCATCATCTGAAAATATTTTATTCTATTTACGGATGACAGATGTTTTATATTCACAATAGGCTCTCACAATAGATTCTGTGTATCTCTATACACACTCATCTTGTAAAACCAACCATATGTTGCTTCCCCCTTCTCCTCTTTGGCGCCTTTCAATTGTTTTTTATTGTAGTGAGGATCGAGCGTGCGTGATTGAAGTGCGTCAATAACACTTTGATGTGTCAAAACCTTTTTTGTGAGATCCGTTCCTGGCCTGAAGTATGACGAGATTCGTGCCGTTCCTGGCTGGAGGTAGAACGAGATTCGTGTGAATACCGTTCCTGGCTCGAGGTAGAACGAGATTCATGTGAATACCGTTCCTGACCCGAGGTAAAACGAGATTCGTGTGAATTCCGTTCCCGGCCCGAGGTAGGACGAGATTCGTGTGATTTCCTGCGAACTTGAGTATGTGGTGGTCATCATCGTCGTCGGTGTCGTGTCGGTGGTGGTGGTGGTGGTTGCGGTGGTGGAGCTGCTGAGCTTGTTTTCTTCTCTTTTTTTTGGGGGGGGGATCACTAAGAACAGATCAGGGTAGGATAAAGGTTGAATGTATACACCATTATTCGAAACGCCCCCCCCCCCCCTCACCCCTCAAAAACGAAATGAAACCTCTTATTACCAATCTTATGAAAGAATATGTTTTGACTAATACGTGATGATACAAAATTTGCCGGGAAACCGCCTACTAATTGATATATTTGGTAAATTATCATATCGATCCGGCTGGATAGATATCGCGAATACACTTCAACATTGAACACTTGGCATAATTTCAGCTTTTTTGCGAATTTAGGTTGAAGTATTGCCATCTAAACCTCTGAAGGCAATATTTAAACAATATTTAATGGATATTTTGCACCCCAAACCCTTGAACCGCAATTTTACCACTATACCGGTCTAGATCTTTAAAGGAGAAAGTGGATCGAGGGGTATATTAGTGGGGTGGTGGTGATGGTGGTAGAGATGTCGATGGCGGCATTTAGGAGAAAGTGGTGACATGACTCGAGAGTATTCTCCTCTCGTTCTTCCTCTTTCAAATGTCCTCTTTCCCCTTTCTCTACCTCCGCCCTCGCTCGCTCTCTCTCTCTCTCTCTCCTCTCTCTCCCCTCTCTCTCTCTCTCTCTCTCTCTTTATTTCTGTATGTATTTGAATTTTCTAATCTTCAGTCACACAAATCGGTCAATTTTATTGTTCGGCTCGCCATGATATGTGTTAACTGGTCAAAACCACATGTATCAAAAAGACCCCAATTTTTGCCTGATAGTTCGGAAATATAGTGTTGATCAAACCAGACACCTTCTTCAAATGAGGTATCACTGCATGGGACCTAAATATATGATATTGGCAATAATAATAAGATGAAGAAGAAGATGAAAGAGGAGGAGGGGAGGAGGAGGAGGAGGAGGAGAAGAAGAAGGAGGAGAAGGAGGATGAGGAGGAGGAGGAGGAGAAGAAGAAGAAGGAGGAGGAGGAGATGAAAGAGGAGGAGGGGAGGAGGAGGAGGAGGAGAAGAAGAAGGAGGAGGAGGAGGAGGAGAAGAAGAAGAAGAAGAAGAAGAAGAAGAACTAGAATTCGTCACTGTTGACGAATTAGATGATATGCAGCTGATCTGAAACGACAAAGAAACGATCGCCATTCAGTAACTTACGTAATGTACGTTCGACAATCGTTCACAGAAAAAGGAGCTGTAGTTCCATCTCGCCCTGATATGATGTTCCCTTTAGATTTTGTATACACGATTCCGGGCCCAATATTTCGATGAAAATTACATATTACACAGAGGAAAATTAACAATCCTGATGGGGTTATAAGCACATTCTCATAATGGAAGAGTGCCTTTTGATAAGTAACATAATTATATCATCTATAAATGCTAGCGAGCTTTGGGGAAATTTCTCTTAGTCGCTTTAAATTAGGGGCAAGTTTAATGATGAGAGGAAAAGGGACACTTATCGAAAGGGATAAGACAACTATTAGAAAAGAAAAGGAGCATGTGTCAAAATACAAAGACTAATCATCAGAGGTGAAAATGGGGCACTTCTTACAACTGAAAAGAGGCACTCACCAAGGATTAAAAAGGGCACTTATTGAAAAAGGAAATAGGCATTTGTCGACGCAGATTTTGATAAGGACATTTATAAGAGGTGAAAGGGGGCATTTATGAAAAGGGGATATGTCACTTATTAGAAAGGAAAAGGGCATGTATCATTGTCAAAAGGGAATTGATCAGAGGTGAAAATGGGCACTTATCGCATCTGGAAAGGGGCACTGACCACTGACCAGATTTGAAAAGGGGCACTTCCGAGAATGAAAAAGGGGCACTTATAATAAAGGATAATGTGCATTTGTTGAAAGAAAAGGGGCATCGATCAGATTTAAATAGGGGCGTTAATCGGAGGTGAAAGGGAGCTTTTATGAGAAGGAGGAAGTAGCCCTTGTTAAAAAGAAAAAGAGACACATGTTAAAATAAACGGGACATTTTCATCATTGATGAAAAGGGGTAATTATGAGAAGGGGAAGGGGCACTTATAATATGGACCTACTTATCCGAGTTAAAAAGGGGTAGTTATGAAAAGAGTAAGGGGCATTTCTTACATAGAAAAAGGGGCACTTGTCAAAGTTGAGGGATACCTCTCAGATTTGAATAGGGCAATTATCAGAGGTGAAGGGGGCACTTATGAAAAGTGAAAAGGAGTAGTTCTCGTACCTGAAAAGGGCACTTACTAGAGATTAAAAAGGGCACATGTGAGAATGAAAAATGGACACTTTATTGCAAAGAAAACTGGGAACTTTTCGAAAGCAAGGGGCACGTGTCAAATATAAAATTATACACTTATCAGAGGTTTAAAGAGAAGGGGCACTTTAATAAAGTAATAGGGGCAAGAATGAAGGTGAAAGGAGCACTTTTACTATGAAAAAGGAGCCCTTCTGGGGAAATTTAAAAAGTGGGGGAGCGCCGCCTCCGCTAAAAGGCGGATCCATGCTTTGATAAAAGAGGCATATTTGATTTTAAAGAATAATTGGCATGATCAATTTTTAAGCTAGATGTAACGATAAATAGTTTGAAATGGGGTATTCGTAGAAATGTAAAGTTCGTTGAGATTATTAAATACGCATGCATATAGTAGTCTGATGTGGGATCGATTTCTTTTGTCTGGTAGAGTAAGATCAGACCTAGGAATTGTGTTGAATTGCGCATGCGTGCAATTGTAATGGAATAACATATTTAATAACGGCTTTGGATGATCAAGATTACAATTTTCGTTGTCGTCATTTGGAGAGTGTGTGTTCTGGTGTCTTAATGCCAGCTGTCATTACGGAACTTATCAATTGACGTTTCAGTTTGAGAAACGTGGACATTAGAGAAACACCTCCACCAATTTCTACTTTCACAGGTAAGAACATTCAATTTATGTATTGTTTGAATATTTATTTGTGTATTTCTGTTTTTTCTTCGTTTCCTTGTTTGCAAACAAAAATTTGTATCTCTGTTTTTTTTTTCGCGGATCCCTTTGAAAACCACTTCATGTTGAAAGAGCTCATCTACCCCATTAAAGAAGTAAATAGATTAACACAAAAGGAGCATATTCAAGTCTTTTCTAATTCGCAAGTCTCTCTCTCAAATTTCTATTCATATTATTATAAACTATAACTTTGAGAGAAGCGAGTGCAGGCGTGTCAGTCTTTTTTTTTTAAATTTACCTTCATCCGAAAGCATTCGATTTACTGGTTCTTAATTTTGTACATTTTCAATGTAGGCCTATATTACTATAACACGATCGCAAATACTTTCAAGAAATCAACATCAATGCCATTCATAATGCCTTTAGAATTCATGTTTAGATTATGCTATAATGTCACTTTACTGTTCGCACATTTTAAAAGGCTACTGAAATTGCTTAATTTAAGATTGTCTTTTCGAAAGTTTTCGCGATCATGTTAGATGAAGGCCTTCTTTATAACTCTTGAAAAGGTATATTGGAAAAATCGTGAAGGGGGTGAACAGCAAAAGATTGTGGTTTTCTTTGAAATTACTTATCTAATAACATGATATCAAAGGATGCTTGGTCCGAGTTCGATGTCACAAAGAGAAACATTTGTCTAACTTCCTCTATTAGACCTACTTAAATCTAGCGTTAGTTTATTTTTAAATAGATGTGACAAGAGACATGCCTATAGGTTAAGGTAATTCGTACATCGCTTCAAAGTTCATTCTTACCAAAAATGAAGAGATCTTCACTTACAAAACGCTTGTAGCATTTCTTAATATCTTAAGGTTTTTTGCTAAGGCTAATGGATAATCATTTCAACTACTTTCACCCCTTTGTCAAAATACTAATCTGAACCTTTATTATTTTTGCTTCGTATGATGTTCAAATCACAGTATAAGAGAATACATACTTATAGTAATGTGGCAGTTGAAAGAGTAAAACAAAGGAAAATCATGAGCGAAATGTTTATCCGAATTAATATTCTGCTTTAATGTTCAAGACGTACACTTCCACCTTAATAAAAACAAATAGCTAACTTTTAGTCCCCAACATCTGGAAATTTCTTGCTGATGAAAGTTTAAATTATGAAAGAGTGCCATTAAAGAAAAAATAATAATTTCCGCGCTCTTTTTTGCATTTGATCATTCTTTTTCAATATTCATCTTTCTAATGCAGTGGTAGGAAATTGGGGCATAAGGAATCTTTTATTTAAAGTAACCATTTCTTGTCCCCCTTTCCTATCCGATCTTTATTTTCTTTTTTTCAAATTTATTTTCATATCTTATGACGTGAGAAAATGTGGGAAATAGAATCTCAACTTGTGATACAGATGGAACGAATCACTTAGATGTAGAGGAAGAGAGAGAGAGAGAGAGAGAGAGAGAGAGAGAATCAATAGAGCGGGCGTCAATAATGACCCTGATAACTTTGTTTAAAACAGCTGAAAAACAAACACACCCCAATGTCACGATCCATACGTCAACGCCTTTCCTATTTTGTTGCTTCCAGATGGATGTACAGGTGTCAATTTTGGGAGCGTATCCCCCCCCCCCCCCGTCTCCCCTGTTTTGAAATAATGCGAGCCAAATATTGGTACGTAATGGTGAGCAGCAGTGGCGTAATGAGCAAAAACTTTTTTTTGGGGGGGGGCAGAAGAAAAAAATCCGCTTCACCTCCACTCTTACATGCAGGCCCCGCTGAACGTTTTTCAAAGTGGAAGGGGGAGGCTTAGGTATTTAGGATCAGGTAGAGCGTAGCGTAAATTGGCGTAGGGTCTAGGGGCAAAGCCCCAGCGGGGTCAATGGGCGGATCCGCCGGGAGCTCAGTGGGTATGGCCTCATAATTACAGTGAGATAAGCATATTTTGATACCTTATTCATGACACTGGCGGGTTACTAATTGGCGTGGGGTCTAGGGGGCTTAGCACCCTGAAACTTATTTGATGCAAATTATAACGATCAGATAAGCATTCAGGGGCCTGCCTTCGGGCCTAGGTTGGTATGGGCTTTTAATTACGGTGGGATAAGCATATTTTGATACCTTATTCATGACACTGGTAGGTCACTAATTGACGTGGGGTCTAGGGGGCTGAGCACCCTGAAACTCAGTGATTTGAGGCAAATTATAACGATCAGATAAGCATTCAGGGGCCCGCCTTAGGCCCCCTGGTGGAGTCGAGGGGACAGAGCCCCCGGAAGCTCAAGAGTTCTAGGCAATTAATCACGGTCAGATGAGCATATTTTTGATACCTCATTATTTTGTGACACTGGCAGGTCACTATTCTCCCTTTCTATCTCTCTCTTTCTATTTTCTCTTTAATATACTTTTTCAAAAAATGGAGGGGGGGTAGCTTGAGGTCCTCAAGCCCCGCTGTTCCGCGGTCCCTGACAATTAGGCCTCTTAATAAGCATAAATCTCGGAAAATAATGTCATTTCAGCACCATTTGTAAATCACCGGTATCTAATTAGAAATACACCACGTTTGAGCCCCCCCCCCCCCCGATCTACACCTTGTTGGCGGGAAAATCGCAACCGATCTCCCTTACCTTTCTTCTTTCTCTTTGTTGTTCTTTTAAGTTTACTCCTCTTTCCCTTTCCCTACCCTTCTTTAAGGCTTGCTGGGAGGGGGGAGGCAAGGGCCTCCCCCGTTGTACGCGTTGTTTGGCGGGATTAATCGCAACTGCTCTCCCTTTCTTTTCACCCACTTCTTTTCTTCCTCTTTTTTGTTCCCTTTTAGCCATCCGCTTTCCCTTTCCCTTCCTTCTCTATTTTTTGGGTGGGGTCGGGGGGTCGGGGGCAAGGACCTTTTATCTCCCCCCGATCCACAACTTGTTGGCGGGGAAAATGCAACTGATATCGCCATTCTTTTCTTTTCTTCTTTCTCTTTTTTCTGCCTTTTATCTCATTTTTCCTTTTTTTTCTTTCCCTTTCCTTCCTTCTCTCTTATTTTTTGATGGAGGAGGGGGGGGGGCAAGGCCCTTTCGGCTCCCTGATCTCCTTCTTTTTTCCCTTTTCTGTTCTTCTTCCTCTTCTTTCTGACTTGTATCTCACTTCCCCCCTTTTTTTCTTTTCCTTTTATCTCTCTCTCTCTCTCTTTTGCGGAGGGGGGCACTCGCCCCCCCCCCCCCCCTGGATCCGCGCCTCGGTTAGAATGCCCTGGCAAATGTAATATCATGCCAAAGGACATTAGTGCAGCAGCGAGCCTAAAACCGCGAACCGCGACCGTGACGTATCCACGAGTACACGATAACGTATGATTTAAATGTTATAGATTTAATGTGAATTTATGTTCATAACTTCATAACATCAAGTACATAAGACATGGACTGGCCTATAATTGCGAGCTTTTAGAACATATTCTCTTTCTTTCATGAATTGGCACCAATTTATCTGCAACATCTAATCCAGAAATACAAACCCTAACGCAATCTATACGGTCTACTTCAGTGTCAACTCTTTCTTATGGTCATCGCTCTCTTTGCAAAGCTTCTGCTGAACTTTAGAACAAACTACCTTAAATGTCAAAAACTGTCAGACTGTCAACCAATTCAAAACTTGTCTTAAGACACATTTATTCAAAATTGCTTTTGATGATTAACTTACGCTGCTCACATTGATGTATATTTCTTATGCATTGTAATTTGATTTATTTGTAACTTTTTTTTGTTTAATTGTTTATCATTGTATTTTGTTTGTTATGGCGCTTAAGGAGACTTTCGGCGGTAAGCGCTTTATAAGCATCGTTATTATTATTATTATTATTATTTTCATGATATGATATTTTTTCTAATCCTACAGATTTAACGGGTGAAATATCACTCGGAAATCAATCGAAATGGGTCGAAGTGCCCTGCTATTTTGGTAAGTACTTATTCCTCTTTTATCTTTTAAATATTTTTTTGTTTTTTAAATCGTTTAATGGTTTGTTCTTACCCGAATGCAAAGCATGTAAGTGCTTGAAAGTGGGCGACCGGGGGGGGGGGGGGATTTATGTCCACTTCGAGGGGCTTGGTAATGAAAATGAATACATTACCAAAGAGCACTAGCACATCGACCTGGTTTCGAACCCGGGATCCCCCCCTCCCCCCCCCCCCCTCGCACTTACTAGACCACTGCTCTACCACTGAGCCATCAAGTCTCCTATTTATTATTGCATCATTACGTTGAATTTTTCTTTAGAAACATGCTTGTAAAGACTCCGGATATCAACTTACGGGTAATGTCAAAACCCTATTGTTTTGATTGAAAAATTAATGTCTAGATTACGCAATTATGTCATTATCACGTTCACAAGATACAAGAGATGACAGGTGATCTATTTAGATTTAAAGAATAATTCTCATGCTTTTCTCATTTATTTGAACCATGCTGCCTCGCCCCCACATAAGTTACATCCTTTGCGAATCATTATCTATTAATAATTGAAATTGAAAAGAAGAAAAAAGGAATTGAAATTAAACCCATACAAATAATTTTCCGTTGTATGTACAATAAACCTTTGAGATGCTTTAAACAAAATACAATTCAACTAAACATAATTACAGTGACATGACACCGCGGGTTCAAAAAACTTTTGTTTTGCATTTTTATTTGTGGATTCTGGACAACATTATGGAATTCTATATCCATTATCATTTTGCTGGTGTATATATTGTGTTCTTGCTCGTTTTGAATTTGTCAACCATGAATTTAAACAAATTGAATTAATGAAACGTGTTTATCGTGTCGCAATACACAGATAAATAATGATAAAACTATCATTCTGAGAAAATCAAAACATGAAGTTTAATTAAGGTCGTAATATAGTTCGTCATGGTCGTGGAAATCACATTCTTGTAAAAGGCCTAATCAAACTCGTTGGAATTCATGCTTCAATTTTTTTAACAAAGGTCGTTTCCATTGAAAGCTCTCTGAAGATCATTTAAATTAGTCCAATACCGTTAAATCATTGATTTGGACAACAAAATTACAGATTTGGGGCAAAAAGTGATTTTTGTGTAGAGAAAACAAGACATAAATAAAAGTGACATCTACCAAGGCCTGTAATTATACTTTAATCACTATTTTAGAGCAACATAGAAACAATACTTTTCTAAGGGTGAAATGCAGTGGAATTTGTTCTTGTATGGTATGGTATTTGGTATAGTATTTATTGAATCATACATCGCACTTACATATACTGAATTACACATGGATATACATTGCATTTTAAAAAACAAGTGTACAATTTAAAACAGTATCATTTACAGATTTACATAATTATAAGTACACGTATATGTCACATGTTTATCCTTAATTTTATTCTAGAAGCCTATACAGAAACAGGCTTGATTGATTGAAAGAGAGGGTAGCATAAGGGTGCCCCCCCCCCTTTCATCACTCCAATGTGCACATTATTTGTGGTCCCGACGCGCAAGACAGGGTCTGAGTTATCCAAGCTATAGACTACAGTCTAAGAATGCCCTCAGTGTAATGTACCTGGGTAAAGGTACTTTAGGCTTGGCCGAAGACATCATTATGCAGATATGTTTTCTTAGTATGTCCTAATCACCGTTTGAAAGGGGTGGGGAGGAGGGTACTGCCCTGGACCAAATTTCCTGAAGAGTTAGCTGTCTCTATAAGCCATAAACAAAACAAAAAATAGCCAAAACAGAAACACGAAAAACGTAAATTACAAAAGACAAAGCTCCCCAGATTTTTGAATTCGCCAAGAAATCTTGCAATTTTCCAACAATCAAGATAAGAAAAAAATTCTAAACATATAAAAAAAAATGCAACAAAATCAACAATAAAAATAACAACAAAGACTCAAACAACAACAACAACAAAAGTTGACAGTTTTTGAGATTTCGGGACAGCCTACATAGTTTCTAATTTTGCTTCCAGATTTTTGAAAGGGATATTTGTTACCACCCCCCCCCCCCCCCCCCCACACACACACACACAGCCCATCCCTAGTGACCCTCCTGTGGTTGATCTGCAATGTTGTTGTTTTTAAGTTGTTCTCCTTTTCATATTCATTCTCTAGCTCCCTGTTGGTCATTTCCTGCGTGGCCGCCCAGGATCTAGTTTCTAATATCGCCGAACCCGATAAAGACAGTGTGGATGCTGATTCTGGTAGGTCTGTGGCATAGCTACAGTGGATACGTAGAGGCACCTGTGCTCCCCCCCCCCCCCTTCCCCCTCATCGAGTGATGAAAATTAGGAAGAAAATAGGGGGAAACGAGAAAAAAGAAAGAGAGAAAGGGAAAATGACGAGAAGAGAAGACGCCTGCAACTTGACCACCTACCGCACATTCCCTATAATCAGGAGCCCTATAAATTCACCCCCCCCCCCGATCACCACCCAGTGGCGGATCCAGGGGGGGTTGGGGGGGTTGCAACCCCCCCCTTGGGCGGCCCAAAAAAAAAACAAAAAAAAAAAAAGGGGAAAAAAAAAAAAAAAAAAAAAAAGAACGCACGCTGGAGAGAAACCCTTTCAAGTGCAAATATTGTGAGAAGATATTCAACTCATCTGGTAACTTAACCAAACACATGATAACTCTGGATATAACTATGTATTAAACTGTTACTTGATTTAAAAAGACGTTATCATGCACTGCTTTTTATGGTCTCCATTGTGTTAATAGATGCCAGGAAAACATCACTTACGGGGTTCAAATAAACACCCCCAAAAAAATCGGCTCGCCGCTTCGCGGCTCGTGGACGATGCTCCGCATCGTCATTATTTTGGTCAACCCCCCCCCTTAGCAAAAAGCTAGATCCGCCCCTGCGGCACCACTCCGGGAACGGGGACCGCATGCATGTTCCAAAAATGTCCGGTAAAGGGGTACTTTTCACGCAGTAAAGTCCGGCTTTTAACACACACAAAATCGGCCCGTATTGACTTTACACACCGGACTTATGGGGTGTTTTCAAAACGAGGGAACATGCATACGTGTACCCTAAATAACACTGAGTGGGGGGGGGGGGAATTTACGGTGCAATGTAAATGTAATTTACGATGCAACACTTCAACATCCACTTCTCAAGAGGTGACCGAATGTATTCATGACTTTGGCATTGAATGATCATTCTTAAATGCACAAATTGGGACTGCTCGATGTGTAAAAGATCTATGGATATTAAGGGTTATTAATTTTGTACCATCTGCTAACTACGAACTGGTCTCTTGTCGAGGGAGCAAATTTCGGATCACATAATTATGGGACGCAAGATTAATCCTTCATTTTAGCTTTCCTGACATATTATGCTTCCCCTTTCTAATTTACAGGCAATACACTGTCGGCCAGCGAGCTTTTGGCGCAGTTTAACAGCGGGGACTTAAATGACGAAGAATTGGCGGCCTTTGAACTTATTCGCGAACATTCGGGTGACTTGACATCAAAGTAAGTTTAGAAAACGAGAAAAATCACTTGACTTGATCTACGAATGACAATATCACGTGGCCTGACATCAAAGAATATTTAGAAAATTGGAAAATCACGTGACTTTCCCTCCAACTTCCAAGTAGAGAGAATGAGGGAACGACACGATTGTAAGGAGTTTAAAAAAGTTTATTTAAGACAACAATGGATAGTTATTTCCAATCTTATATCATATGATATGAACTTAATGTTTTTAAAACAGATTAAATATAATGTCTACAGAACGGCGCTACATGCGTTAAATACAGTTGATTGCATTTACATTGATTACTGTAAATTTAAAATGTGTTCTGATTAGCTGAGTAATCAGGGACTTTTAGATTTGCACAACGGAGAACGTGGACTGCCCTTTTAAAGCAATTTGACGGGGGGTAAGCGGCCACTTTTTTTTTTTTTTTTTGGTCTTGAAATTTGAAAATTTGTCATTTTTTTTCGTTGGGGGGGGGGGGTAAGGTCACTTTACGTTAGCCGTGGGCATAATTTTTTTTTTTTTTTTTTTTTAATTAAAAAAAAAAAAAGGGGGGGGGGTTTTAGTTTTTTTAGGGGGGTTTACACACATAAAAATACCAAAGGGGGGGGGTTGAACCCCCACGCCCCCCCCCCCTGCGTACGCCCCTGGCCGAGGGTGTTTGGACTGTTTTGAAGGTACCGAGTGTTGGTAGTTTTACTTATGCCCGAACAAAATTATGTGTATTATTTGTTTTATAAGATTATGTTTTATTTGTTTTATAAAATGATGTTTTATAACATTTGATTAGGATTCACGTTATCATGTTATAATAGTAGTGAAAGTAGTAGTGATAGTAGTAGTAATACTTAGTAATAGTAGTAGTAGAGGTGGTAGTAGTATAGTAGTACTTCTCGTAGTAGTAGTAGTAGTAGTAGTAGTAGTAGTAGTATATAGTAGTAGTAGTAGTAGTAGTAGACATTAATGAATAACTTGTTTACCACAAGGCTAATCTTTCACAAGCTCTATTCTTTGAAACTATTTTTTATGTTGTCTTATTATTATTATTATTATCATCATTTCTCTTGCATGTAGTCTCCCGCCTGAAACATGTGAGGGTATCAAAACTGCTTATCACTTTAAAGAAGAAGAATCGTGCTTAGAGGCGTCCAATAAGCAGTATCGCCGACTCGACGGGCTTGTAACAACCTGAAAAATCCGAACTGGGGAAAAGCTAAGTGGCCGTTGAGGAGACTACTTAAACCTGTCTATGCGGATGGTTAGTACAGTCTTATAAAGTGATTTATTGAAACTCGATATTCTCATACACTAGCTACAATAATACTTAATATGACGGTTAAATTTTTACTTTTCTTTTACTGTTTCACCACTGCATCTCGTCAGAAACTTTTTTATCGGGTATTAGGGGCTCGCGGGGGGGGGGGGGGGGGGGGGGGCTCGGAAAAAACCGTGATAAACCGGTTGTTTTTTTCGAAAGTCTTTGCACTGAAGGGTGAAGGTTGTGCCTCATTTCGTAAAGACATGATGATGGAGTTTGGTTGTCATGGCGTAGAAAATCATTTATCGGAGTATTGATATTATTGAGAAGATGATAAAAATAATGAAAATAAGAATGATGATTGTAACAATGCTAACAATTATATTAATACAATCAATATAATAAAAATAATGATGATAATATCATTAACAATAATGATAATAATGATAACAATACTTAAATGATAATAATAATAACAATGGTAAAATGATAATTAAAATACAAATAAAAGTAATAACAATAATAATAATAACAATTTCATAACGTGCGAGTCCTTTTGAAATCGAATGCACACTTGCAAAAGATGAAACCATATAAAAGCATCAGACGCAATATTACCGTTTGAATAGGATCAGGTAATCAATCAATAATGGGCCAAATCAAACAGATACGTGTTTAGATTTAACTTCAACTGATCTGCTTATCTGCTAAGATGCGGTCACAAAATTTTGTCATCATGGTCATAAATGTATAATAATAATAATAACAATCTTGACTCGTTGTGATGGTTTTCATTGAAGGCTATGAAGCGATGAGAGTACATAAGAGGCACCCCGATGCTACCCTGCCGAATGCTAGAGAAGTCTCAGTCAAGGTGGGCACCATAGCCGAGGTAGAGGGCAATGACCCCACAGGTTCGATGCTCCTAGCCATTTTGGGCCAGTTTCTCGATCATGACGTTACACACGCGCCTCAATACAACCGTGAGTATACAGACCCACATGTCAGGAGAACTTCTAACATCGGGGCATCGGGGCATGATCTTTACCGGTCAGATGGTCGCGTTACACTTCCTTTTGTAAAATGAAAACGGGAGACATTATGCGACCTTTCGTAGATTTGTCGTCAGGTTTCACAAAGTGTCGGGGAAATTGGAATAGACCAGGGGCGTACGCAGGAGGGGGGGGGGGGGGATGGGGTTTTGGGTTTTAAAAAAAATAATTATGTGTGTATTTTGAAGAACCCCCCCCCCCCCTTGTTTTTTTTTATATGCTAATGGGTGACTTAAAAAAGGTGACCTTACCCCCCCCCCCCCCGCTTATTCAGCGGCTGGCTGAGTCGTACCGAAATTTTCGGCCCGATTTAAAAATGTTAACCCCCCCCCCCCCCCTTGAACAATCCTGCGTACGCTACTGACATTTCGTGAATTAAAGGGCACGTTTTCACTCAAGGTCGGGTAACGCGGCCACCCGACTCGACGCGATGACAAGTTGATTCGAACTATGCCCAAACCACATGTGTCTGGACAGTTGATTTCATATACAGTACTTTGAAGAAGTTTATGAATAGTATTATATGCATCTTTTAAAGCTTATATATTAGACAATTATAAGGGACAGATCATAGTAGATTGTGCTATTTAATGTATATATATTTGTTTTATCCGAAGCCAATCACCAATCACCAATCACCAAAATATTGTTTGCTCTTGATGTTAAAGGTGTCTAATGATGCTAAACTGTAGTCAAACTATAAGCTTCAAATATTTCTATGAGTTCACACCTTGGGGGGGGGGGGGGGCTTAAATAGTAAGACATACGGGAGTGTCCCGCTCTAATGGCAACTTTTCACACAAAAAATCCCTAAACATGGGTCCCATTTTTAACAAAAACACCCCTAAATATGGGTCCGCTTTTTCAGAATTTTGAAAATTGTGAACATTTTCTGGGTTTTTATCATGCAAACACCCGAAAATATAGAAAAAAATGGGCTTAAATTCGAAAAAAATCCGCCAAAATGACTCTTAAAAATGGGTAGGGGTTTCGAGGCTTCAGCGGCACACCCCCGTCAAAACTAAATCTGAGCACCCCCCCCCCCCCGGGAGTTTACATGTTATGTCGTCGCAGTAACTGCGGAAACTTTTAAGAATAAGAGGCACATGTTAAAATAAACGGGGCACTTATCAAAGATGGAAAAGGTTAATTATGAAAGGGGAAGGGGCACTTATAAGAATGAAAGCGAGCATTTATTAGGAAGGAAAAGGGGGACGTGTTAAAATAAAAGGGGCATTTATAAGAGATAAAAAAGAGCACTTATCAGGAGGGGAAGAGGCACTCGTCAAATAAAATGAGTATCTCTAAAAATTGAATAGGGTCATTTACAAGAGATGAAAAGGGGCACTTATGAGAATGAAAAGGAACTA